ATTATTCTTTATTCATATTTTAGGTCTAAAATTTTTTAATTAGCTTTTAAAAGAATAAGAAGATAATATGCCCAAATATGCATATGAAACAAAAAGATGCCAGTGATGTCCAGTGGCACATGCAGAGCGAATTGTACAAAAGTTATCATTGAAACTAAAAGATGAAATTTAGTGGTGTTTTAGAGCGTGTTGGGATTTATGTGTGTTTGTTTTTTACACAGTCTTACATAGAGGGGCGAAAGTGCGTGCTTGCATGTTTTTTAATAACGGATAATTTGCAAACCATATATAATTTTTATTAGCAGCAAAAATTTTCAAATAGACGTATAATTTCTTCATAATTGTCTTAAACAGGAAAATGAAAGTATTTCATATTTTATTCATATTTTAAACAGACTGTATATTAAATGAGAAAATTTTTAATATAAGAGGGAAAAAGAGGAAATTTGCCTTAAAATATTCTTGATAAGACTTTAGTTAATTATCTGGTACTTATATATTTTCCTGTTGATAATTTTTGAGTGTGATTTAGAACCTGTAATGGATTAGCGTAAAATTAGAACACACTCGTAAGATCTTTGCCTAGGTATTTATACAACCCCAACTAGTTTTTAGTATGTAGTTTTATAGTTTATTTGTAATTTATATTTGTTAATTATCTTACTAAATAAAGAGCTGTCTGTTTATTCCAGACTTCTTTTGGAATGACTGGCACAAATTTGAGCTTATATGTATTTAAGGTTTTATATGTTATGTATGTAACTTGTTCTTTGTCTAAAGTGTGATATGTATCTTCAAACTTCCACTGGAGTGATTGGCATAAATTTGGCAGGATAAGTACCAAATATTTTAAATGAAAGCAAAACATTAAATTTTATAAATAAAAGTATTCATTGACTGTACCTAATAGTTTTGTATTTTGAGAGCTTTAATAAAATCATGTTAACTCTGATAATATTTAATTTAATCAAATCTATTATATACACTGAAGCACCATTATATTATGATCACTTGTTTAATATGAAGAAAGGCCACCGTTCGCCCTCAAAACTGTCAACAACGGGTGAGACATTCACTTGACCAAGTCATGATAGGTATTCTGAGGTATCTGGTACTAGGCATTCACTAACTGATCCTGCAATTCCTACACATTGCAAGGTGGTAGTGTGGCAGCCTGAATTTAGTTTTCCAGGTGGATCCATAAATGTTTGATTGGCTTCATGTCAGGTGAATTCGAAGGTTTTTCTTGCAATTCACCAGAATGTTTCTCAAACCACTCCCTGACGGACTTTTATGGCATGGTGCATTATTTTGTTTAAATGGCATCACCTGCCAGGAGCACTGTTGTCAAGAAGGGGTACAATTGGTCTGCAATGATGTTCACATGGAGTGGGGGTTCTTAACCTTATTCCCCATCTGGTCACATCTGACAAACGGGAAATCGCTGGCGGGCGCAGTCAAAAAAAAGTATAACGATTCTTAATATTTCTTTATTTTATTGCAGTCATAAGCATCATAAACAATATCCTACACTAAAAAGGTAACAAAAAATTCAAAATAGTTATATTTAATGCGATTTTTGGCATTGTATATTATCCATTAATTTTTCAAAGTCGGCATATAAGATGATATTCCCAATCCTATAGCATCTTCGAGATTGCTATCGTTAAGTTGAGATCTGATTGTTGATTTAATTGTGTTCATTGTTGAAAACAATGATTCACATAAATATGTGGAACCGAAACAGGATTTTAATTTGTAAGCTCCTTTTTTCAAAAGGGGATATTTTTTATTTTTAGCTAGATTCCAGATATTTTCATTAAGTCCACACGATTTTAATACAATATCAGTGTGAATATTTAAAATCTCATCTTCAGTTGAAGATTCTTCTTCCTCAATAATTTTCCCTATGGAATTTGCAACTTCAGAAATACTAATTTGAGGACTGAATGGGTTTATAAAAAATGAAGCCACTGGCTCAATAATATAAAATTGCTGGAATCTATTTTTGAATTGTTCCAAAATCTTCTGAAGATGACCAATAAATAAATTTAGGTCAAACGAATTTTCACCAATGACTTTTTTCATTTGTGGAAAAGGATCAAGAGACCCTTTTGATAAATTTTCTTTCTAGAATTATAATTTTTATTTAAAACTATTAATTGCAGAAACCATTTCCACTGTATCTTTATTTGCCCCCTGAAATTGAAGGCTTAAAATATTAAATTTTTCTCAAAAGTCCATCAACCAGAGAAGGTCATCCAGTTGTTCGAAACATTCACCTTTTGAAATGAAATATCTTTTAATCAATTCTAGATGTTCAAAAAATTGGACGAGAGCTTTACCGCTACCTAACCATCTTATGTCTGTGTGTAAAATAAGGTCAGATTTTTAAGAATTGCCCTCTTCTACAATGATAACTATGTGAGCTCATGTGCACATCCATTCTTATGTTTTGATTTGAAAATATTGCATCAGTCATATATTCTCTGGTCATATAGTGTTTTGGATTCACAAATCAATGACTTTACATTGATTTTAAAATCTTAAAATTTTGAAATCTTGTAAAATTAATCTTAAAATTTTGAAAAGCAGCTTTCTTTATAATTCCCAATAGGGTCTTAAGTGTTCCCATACATCTTTTTATATTTGCTATATTAATCCTTTAAAAATAATAGATAGTGACAGAATTTGATGGCAGCATCCTTTTATCTGAAAAGTGGTATGGGACAAAAGTGACATGAACACGAAATTGAGAATTAAATCTAAATTGAGATCAACACTAATTGCTTCATAATTAGTGTTGATCTACATAATGAGCTTATTGTAATTGAAAATAGTATAACTCTTAGAATACGAGTATTTTCAATGCTTATAAATGTAATGTATTGTTTTTAATGACAAACTCATTTTAAAAAACAAATTTTAGAAAATTTGTATTGCATCATTATTTTTTTTATATATATATGTAAGAAAATCTTTTCATAAATTCAGGTAAAGTGTCACTTCTGTTTTATCAAATTTAGCCAAAATCTAATATGTTGTTCTCACTGAAGTCTTAAATACTAAAACTGAAAAGTTTTGGAGTATATTTTAATATAGTTTTTCCATTAAGAAATGTTGATAGGCTTTCTATAAAGTAACACTTCCAATTCTCCAATTATATCTAATCAAGTTTTTATGTGAATGTAGAAAGCTTAAATACAGAAAACAGGAATTTGTGAAAATTTTATAAGAGTTATAATGAGTAAAAAAATTGTTATATGCATACACACAGGTAGACAGAAATCATTGTAAAAAATGTGTTGCAGGGATCTAATTCAAGCTTACACTAGGTATAAAACTCTATTGAATTTTTGGACTGAAAACATTACTTCTCTTACCAATGTGTACAGTTTGGCAGGAGGAGAGAGTGCTCTTTTTAATTTCTTGTACAAAGTAAAGGAAGTATTGTAATCACAAAAAATTTGGTTATCAGATTTCAATGGAAATAAGCATTTTGACCACCCCATAATCCATTTGGATTATAACGATTAGCTGTAGAATGTTGAAATTTTGTATATGCGTTTGCTGTAACATCTAGTTGTGCACGTCTTTTTTTTTATTGCAATTTGCCATACCAAAAGTAATTTTTTCTGGCTCAGTGAGGTCTGCTTTTTTATTCTTTGATGTTGGTAAATTATGCATTTTTCGCTTTAAAAGTGATTGAATTAAGTTGTGCTTATGTTCCAGTTAAGGTTTTATGCCTTTAGTTAATCTTCATGCAATAGTAGCAAAATTATTAGCTTATCTAAAAGTGTAAGGAGAGATAAGCCTAACAAGGCAGAACTTCTTTACATATGAAATTCTTAGTAGTATAGAGAATTAAGAAATTTGGTGCACCATCTTCAGTAACTTTCTGTCAAGTGGAACCAAAAGTTAACTCTAAATTGCCCCTAAAATTTTGTCTTCCTGCATGTTGGTCGAATTCTTCATATTTGCATAGGAAGTCTAATTTTAATAGTAAAAATTGATTTTTTTAACTGTATTTCATGTTTTAGGGGCTTCTTTTATCTTACAATTTTTAATGAAGATGTCTTTGGTTTTTATGTATGTTTGCTTTGCTACAAAGTGAGAACTTAATTTATTGAATATAAAATATAATCTCTAATGTAATTTGAGGAAATGAGTTTAAATGAAATACAGCAAAAAAGAAATGTATAATTTAATACGCCATACAAAGAAGTCGTATGGGGTCCACATAAGATGTTTTCTTTTTATTGGAGTCCTTAAGGTCCTTATCGACTTCAAGTAAAATACCATTTCTGGTTGTCCAATTCAGCCCTGATCAACTGAATATCAATGCGTTTGACCTAAACACAGAAAATGGGAATTTTTTAAAGTTTGATAGAAGAGTTATCATAAATGGAAAAATCATCACATACATTCACTGCCATTATCGTAAAAATACTGACAGATGTTATTCTGAAAATTATAAAAATGTGTTGTGATGACCCTAATTCATGCTTATTCTATGAAAACTCACTATCTTTGTAAAAGAAATCAGACGAGCTTCTAGGGTTGTTGAATGGTAACAAAAATAAAAATCAGGGATTGTATTTTCGGGAATATTTGGTGAGTGCAGAATAATTAAGTACCTCTTTTCAATAACAATTATAGCTAAGTTTTGTGACAAATCTCTTGTAATTATTGTAATTAGGGAAATACATTATACTGTATACAGTTGCTCTAAAATACAGTTTACTTTTCTCCAAATACAGTTTATTTTTCTCCAAAAGCTGAGCCAAAGTAGAGATTTAGTTGAAGTTTTGCAAAAAATAAAATGGAGGGTTTTCTTGTTTAATACTTATCATGCTTAATAGTTTTTTAATTGTCATTTAACTACCTTTGTTTGTTAAAAGTACTTTTAAGGTATATTTAAATGCATGATAAATATCTTGAAAACATATTAAAATTTCATTTAGACTGTACTTTGTCATTGTTATTTTTATCATTTTCAGAGCACAGAAAGAACTACAAGAGAAAATGACGTATGATTTTAATTTATCTCCAAATGACGTGGTGGATAATCGTGTTCCACTTTACGACAGACTTTTTGTGCCTCATTTCCAAAGAGTGTCTGTTGGTGGAGAGCATTGTTCAGGGGTAGGTGATGGCACTGTTTTAATTCAGTAAACAAAAGTTTTATGTGCTTTTATTGATAGATGTACACTGGTGTCCAAAAGTTAAGCATAATTGATAATTATGTGAATAAAGAAGGAACTGTAAATCAGAGTGGTGGGAAACGTGATATGTGAGTGTAAAATGTTTATAAAATAAGGAAGCAAACCAAAGGAATGATAATAATTAATTTTATTATCCAAAGTAGCAATTTGAAAGAAAACGGAGAATAGCAAGGGTTCACATTTTAAAGAAAAAAGAAAGAAAACATTAAATAAATTACTGATGCTGCAGTTTAATAAGGCGTGTGGTCACCTCTGACAGCCAGGCACACTGCACAGCGATTTACCATACTTGCTATGAAATGATGAATGAGTTGTGGGCTCAAATGGTTCTAAGCTTCTTGGAGAGTTCTCTTCAGTTCTGTAACAGAGCTTGGTGGGTGCAAAAGGGCTGCAATTTGTCTCCCGAACATATCCCATACATGCTCGATAGGATTTAAATCAGGGGAGTTCGCAGGCCACGACATGTGCTGGATGTTTTTCGTTTCAAGGAAGTCATCAACCAGCACCGCTCGGTGACATGGTGCATTATCATCCATGAATAAGAAGTCGGGACTGACAGAACCTCTAAACGAGCGAACATAAGGCTCAAGAACTTTGTCTCTGTATCTTTGACCAGTCACAGACCTCATGTCAAAGAAATGGAGGTCTGTGCGGCCGTCCATCATGATGCCTGCCCATACCATTACTCCCCTTGATGGAAAATGATGTCTTTACGATATGTTTCTTGGTTCAAAACGTGTTCCACGTTCTCTCCATATCGTTACCCAACAAGAATCAGAACTCAGACTAAACCGGGACTCGTCACTGAACATCACATTGGCCCACTCTCCCACACTCCAATGTTGATGTTTCAAACTCCAGTTCAAACGAGCGCGTTTCTGCGCAGACGTGAGGGGAATGCAAGCTGCTGGTCTTTTGGCATACAGGCTAGCATGATTGAGTCTCCTGTAAACAGTTTGTCTCGAAATTCATATTCCTGTGGTGACTGTGAACGCTGAACCCAGTGTTCTGGCAGTACTGCCCCTCTGACATTGCGCACTTATCCAGATATCGGTCTTGGCGAGGGGTTGTAACTCTTGGTCGACCTGATACTGGTCACCGGGTAACATCTCCTGCTCTTTGAAACCTCTGCCACAGTCTTGAGATCACAGACTGGTTCACATTCAGAACTTGAGACACTTTGGTTTGTGATCGTCCAGATTCCAACGATTCTTCCTTTCGCAAACATCTCCAATTGGCGTCTTTGTGCCATCATTCACCTTGTTTGATGGTTAACAACGTTCTTTCGCACAGCAGTTGCCCGAAACTTGTCTCAATTGCCTATGCTGCGTGAATTGGTTTCTCTGTGTTCTGACATGCGCAGGTTTTTCACGTAGGACGTAGTTGACTGAAAAGCTTTGCATAAACCCAATGTTTCTTCTTCACCCAATTACTATCCGTAAGAAATTTGGAATAATTTTACGAATATTTACTCCATGTTTTTCGCATTTTACAATTAATGCTTAACTTTTGGACACCAGTGTAGTTTGATTGCATATGAGATTAATATCATATACCTTTTTAACATTCATATGTGTATGGCGTAGTATTATGCATTGTTAATACAATAGATTGCACTTCTCTGAAGAATTTCAGTTGAGCTCTAGAATATATAGAAGCAAGCTTATCTTCATTCTCTTTAAGTCACAAATACAGCGGTTAAAAATTTCAAAAAATTTATTTTGGATTAAATATTTAATTTTAAATATTTGGATCTGGTTGATTTGATGATGGCAGAACATATTAGTGTTATCTGCATAAGGCGAACGATGCCTTCATGAAAGTCATTCTGCGAGAAAATTTGCTTCTATTCCTGTTACTTATAAGGAAAACCATTGAACTCTTGTGCAGCTAACCCATTTATAGAATCTGAACTTAGATTGAATTATCAGCCCTTGGAGCTCTTACCTACTCCCAGGGTTTAACTACCCTTAAATATTTGGAAGAATAAAATCCTTGCTTGCGATAAATCAAAAATATATTTTACTGAGAACTACTGGCTGGTTCTTGTGTAGAATAAATCAGTGGTGTGTCTAGGAAGGGACAAGGGGGAACATCTGCCCCGGGCGCAGCCTGCAAGCACTAAATTTACGTTACCAAATTTTAGAATGAAATGTTTTCCATTCTTTACAAACAGTAGGGGGTGCAAAATCTTCAGCTGTCCCTGGGTGCCGAAAACCCTAGGTTTGGTTCTGGAATAAATATGAGATATCTAAAATTTTAAGTAAATTTTATACTTTCTTTGGTTAGTATTATGAAAATACATTATGACTGTATGTGTATTATATAAAAACTATATATGTATTATATCAAAATATTGACTTATTTAACTTGCACAAATGTGCATTGTCTTCAGCCTCTTTGGAATGTTTGTCTTCCAAATGATGAGAACAAAAGTTATATTCTGTATAAAATATTCTAATAATATAATATGATATTTATGGTCATTTTAATTGTCAATAAAATTTTGAGTTTTATTTTCATTATTTTTATTTGGCTAATCTTGCCAAATAGGGACTTGCATATTCACATTTTTTTTCAACCTGCAAGTAAAAAATATTGTAACTGGTAATAATGCTAGAGTTAATAATATTAAAGGGAAAAAGTGTAAATAATAATTAGTTAGCCTTTTAGTGTTAGAATGTTGAAAATATATTTAACTGAATTTCTAATTGACCCTAGAAACAATTTAATTTCCAAATGGAATATATGGGAAATGGTGCCTGTAGCAGTTAATTTACTGATGAAAATGCATATTATTAGTTTAGCCACTTGTTATGCAATATTTGATACTGGCTAGAAAAGAAATGCAGTATAAACTTTGATCATGAACTCCTCACTTCACTAATAAATTATCCAAACAATAAAAGATGAAATGAAAGATGTATTTGAAGGAAAAACCCTTACAAGAGCATTTAATATTTTCTTCTTAATTTCTTTCTCTTTCCCTCCTTTCCTTTTTCTTTTTTCTCTTAAAAAAATAAAATTATCAATAGAGATTTTCTGTAGAATCTTTGTCATTGCATATTGAATATGAGGATTAGGAAATGCTTTAATGCCTTATTTTACATGATCCTATGATTCAAAATCCTTTTCTATCATCCCTCCATTTTTGTAATCTGCACCATTAATATAGGAATAATGAACTGATGTATTTTTATTTATGGCTAAGCATACTAAGGAAGTTTATGTCTGTATGAGGAATGGATACTCTTTTGGAAAATGTTCTAAAGGAAACCATCTATATTTACATGATAGATGAAGGAAACTGCAAAATCCCATGTAGCATGTCCATTCAACCATACTGTAGAGTTAAATTAGATTCCCACTGTTATATGGTTTAAACTGTACAGCTGTTGGTTAGCTTGAAATTGTCTCCATTTGGTAGTACATTAAGAATGAGTCGTACATTGGTTGAATCTTTTTATTTTATAGCAAAGCTGTTATGAATACTTAATATTTCTAATTGTTTTTTTTTTTTTTTTTTTTTTTTTTTTAATTTTTTAAATTGTTCTGTTGTTTTTTGAATCATAAATATGAATGCTAAAGGAAAATTTAAGTCTGAAAAAATTAATATTTATGTATCAATTGAACAGAAAATTTACTTTATAATAAAAACAGAAAATCAGTTTAATGTATATTTTATAGAAAACGGAAATAGTACCCAGTAGTAAATTTTGAAAGGTTAGTTTTGAGCTCCCTCTCTTCTTAATTCAGTTTAAGTATGTTAAATGAACCTGTTCTCTCTCTCTTTTTTTTTAAACAAAGAAGCCTAATGGAAAGCAAAAAGAAATTTATTAGTTGTATCTGTGTAGCTGAACTCTGTTCAGTTGCCCACTACCTAGATTGAATTTAGGAGTGGAGTTATTTTTGGACAAAGTGGAGAGGTAAAAAGAAATGAACTTTTGGCAAGCTGGAGTGGCTCTGTTTTTTCATGAGCTTTTATGTTGTTAATAACACAGCAATAAAAATTTACGTACAGAAAGGATAATGGGTGATAGCAATTAGTACTTTTTTATTTCTTTAGATCTTTAAAATTTTACCTTAAATTCAAAAGGTAAATGTTGCATAGTTATGTTTAAAAAAATTCAGTTTACTTGTGAAAAACTGGATTTTTTTTAATTGCTGAATTATTAGGTTTGTAAAGCAATTATTAATTAATACTCATGATCAGTAGCTTCAGAATTTCTTAGGCCTTTGACTGTATCTGTTTCCATAAGCTGATTTCATTTTCATTTTTGTAATAAGAGCTGAGATATGTTTTCATTGTGGACATAAAAAATATTTTAGCTGAGAGATGTTTTGATTATGTAAATAAAAAATACATTTAGCAAAACAGTTTTATTTATTGCGACATCACACATTTGTTTTGTATTTTCCAGGATGCTGTTTTCTACTTAAGTAATAAAACATGCGTTTTCCATAATTAATTTAAAGTGCACAAGTAACATACATAAACTCCATTTAGTGCAGAGAAACAGCATATGAAATATGCTATAAAAACATGTGTTTTATTGTCTACTAGCCGCTATGCAGCTAGCCTTCTTCTGGTTTTTAAAAATGTACCAGAAAAATGCCTAAAGGAAACAGCAGACATTAAATTTAAAAACTGAACAGAATTTTACTCTTTCAGTAAAAATATGTTGTATATAAAAAAAACTACAATGAAATAAGCAATATCCCTTAACACAAATATTAATTATCCTAATAAATAAATTAACCAACTTCCCATTCCAAAATCTTAAGAATTCAAATTAAGTTAAGAACATTGTTTCCTCAAAAAAAAAAATTCACGCAAATTTTTTATATAGTTAAAATTATATATAATTAAAATATAATACAGTACAAAGTCTTAAATTCGAACGTCCATAATCCGGACCTCAAAGCTACAAACTTTCTGCGCACGCTTTACGCAGTGCACGTTTCTGCGCACGCTTTTTAGCTTTTACGCATGCGCAGAAAGTGCGTAATACCTTTACGTGCATGCGCATATGTGTTTACACATGCGTGTTTAATGTATAATGGACAGTGTAAGGTAGGCTAAAATTATCTAATTATCCATTTCAGTTAATGTTGCTGATTGCGTTGTTCCTTAATCTTATCTTCTAATTGGATCCGGCTTATTATTTTTTGCAGACTGTTAGAGAAATTTGATAAAAATTAAGCTTGAACTTTCGATTATGTCAAAAAGAGTTTCCAATTCTGGAGCTGCTAAAGGATATACAAAGCGAAAGCATGTTTCGATGTCCATCAAACAAAAAGTGGAATTGTTGCAAAAAATGGATAAAGGCATATCCTTTGTTTCTCTAACCATTCCGAAATCTGTTTATCAATTTCATGCTGCTCTGCATGGGGGGGGGGACATCGTGGCACGCAATGAACTGGAAGTTGATCTGTCAGCACTGTAGAGGTTGGTGAAAACGAAAAAATTTCGATTGACCAGTTAGTCTGTATTCTTGGTACAGCAATTGCAGGACTTGAACAGCGGAACTTTGTAACTGAACAAGAAATTATGTCTGTTTATAGAGAATTAAACAGAAAGTATTAGCATATAAAATGAAGCAACTTAAACAATTTACATTGAAAGAAATGTTTAATAAAGTAAACAAATAAATATTATGCTTTTTTTTTTTTTTTTTTTTTGTAAATTTTGATACCCTTTAGATCATAATTGCTCTTTATTTCATAAATTACAGTTTCATATTTTTAATTTTATAATTTCTGCATGCCATCTTACCAGATTTAAATTGATGATCTATAATCCGGAAAAACCCCTAATCAGGAATCGCCGAAGTCCCGACGAGTCTGGATTAAAGACTTTGTACTGTATAAAAAAATTAGAATGAAATAAGCAAAAAATCATATATTTTCAAGAGAAAACAGTCAGCAGTCCAGTATCCAAAGCAACGAATGAAAAACTGTTGCCAAAACCACATTTCTAAAAGAAGGAAACTATCATCAGAAAGCAATAACCAATCAAAATTGGGCTTTGTGGATGACATAATTCAAAATATACAAACCACTTTGCCATTAGCTAATAAAGAGAGAAAGGGGGAAAAAAGAAATTCTTTCTGTTTTGCCTCACAATGCACATCTGCATCAGAGTAAGAAGATTGCGATGTGCATGTTGGGTGTATAATTAATAATATTTTATCTCTTATTGTCAGCAGTCTAGTATACAAAGCATTAAATGAAAAACTGTTACCAAAACCACATTTCTAAAAGAATGAAACTGTTCAAAATGATGCAATTTCATCAAAAATAAATAAATAAATAAATAAAATTTAAAAAAAAAAAAATCTGATTCGAATTTTGAAAGAATCGCTCCGAGGTGCCCTTGCTGTTGTCTAGATGCACAGAGCTACAAAATTTGGTACATAGGTACCAAATTTCGTAGCCCTGTGTCTATTAGCTTACCGGCAGCACAAATGAAAGACACATAGACATACTCTTTCTTTTATTATATGTAGAGATTTACCATTACTTATAATGTAGTAAGAGGTGCTCCTGATACCACACATTAAATGTGCATTAACTATAGAATTATCATGGCTTCGTGGTAGTTTATGCGAAACTCAATTTTGGTGGGTAAACAAAATTTCTGAATGTAACCTAACTCAAGACTGGTATGTTGGCTGGCAGCTGGGAGATGCTGTTGCTTTTATGGGTAATTGGTCTTAGCAGACTACTTTGACTAAGCTCCCAAGTGGGCACCTGAAATGCCTGAAATTTTCCCTGGGAAAAGATATCTACTGCATCTGTAGAAAATGTGATATTGATCGTTTCATTTCTGAACATCTTGTCACCTGTTTGGGACTTGTAAAAGAAGAGCATTTGAAAAGACCTACTTTCATTTTGGATTTATTGGCAGTTCTTGGACTCATGGATCTGGTCGAGCCTAATGGCTAACCAGTTAGGATCAGTAACAACGCATGTGTAATTGTCACGTTGTTTCAAAATGTTTTTCATAGTTGATACTATCACTCCATGTTAAGATCCTGGAAAAAAAGATTAATCCCTGAAACTGTGGATTGAAGCAATTGCATATCACACTGTAAGTCATACTAATGTTTCGACTCCATTTTACAAAACATCCAACTACTTCATGCACTGAATTGCGAGATTCATAAGTGTGGCCACCAGCTCTTGCATCACATTAATTATAAAACATATTCCAAAAAATTTTCATAGCACTACATATTTATAGCTGTAGATTCAAGTGAATAATTTTATCACGAAGGAAATACTTTAATACTCCAAATGGACCTTTTTGAACATGAAATTCTTATTTATCAAATATCTGGCCATTGACCATCAGGTCATTAGGCAGCGAGCTCTCCGATACTTACTTTACAATACAGTCCAAACTCTTAAGTGCTGATCACACGTCCAGATGAACAGCATCCATGACTTGTCCAAAATCACACAAAGCACATAAAGGCGAGGCAGTCAGATTAAAACGAAACAAATGAGCACCAAGGCAGTCATGTCAAATCAATGAAATTCTTTGAGGTATTAATTTGAGTGTATCAGGATGTATATATCACAATTAATACCAATTCTTAAAATGTAATAAGTATCTCTGCCAATTTTTACAGCATTTTACGGTTTGGATGTATCATTTATCAAGTATCGTATTTACTCAAATGTTATTCCTCCTTACTTTTCTCCCCATTTTTTTAGCAAATGATTTGGGGTAACAATGTAAAATGAATAGAAAAGTATTTTATGCAAGTAAAAAGAATATTGGTACTTTTCTGTTTTGCCGGCGCAGGCGATAAAGTTGCCAATAATGGTACAACTCATGCCAAACAGAATATCCTCACTGGTAACCTTTTACGCCTCATTTACAAACCAAGTAACAGCCATTTCTTATCAGATTGATTGTTTCTATCAAGTACTGGCATACAATTACATAGAATTTTTACCCAGATAGTTCAATTTTATGCCCTAAGGCCATTCGTGGTAATTAAGTCAATTAGGATGCAATCACACTGCTCACCCGAAGGCAGTCAAGGGTTAAACTCATCAATTCTAATGAGAATGCACTAGCGAAGTAAAGCACTGTAGTTTTACATAATTTCTGAATAAGCTATTTGTACGAATTGAAATAATTCTTGCATTTAAACATGTGTTCCAAATTAAGATTTAACTTGAAATTAATGTAGATAATTACTGAGAGAATTAGATTTTTGTTTATGTGAGGTGAGATTACTTGGGATCACATGATATGAACTGGCGAATCAGCATGCTGAACCATGAAAGCATAATAAATTCTTAAACATTCTTAAATTTTACAAATTTATTGTGTTTATTTATTGGCTTTTTACAAAATTTTAAACGATATTAAAATGTTTATGCCTTTGAAAGAAAAAATTCTTAGAACTAACATTTGTTAACATTTTTTATGTAGATACTGTATGTTGTCGCAAATAAAGTCTGCTTGAGATTTGCGCCATCAAAATGGAAAAATACCAGAATATTATTTGAATTGATAAGGTCTTTGAAATATGTAATGTAATAATATTAGTGTGTCTTCATATGTGCATTTTTAATATGCTGTGTTTAAAATTCAAGTCATCTCTTCAGAAATAGTTTTGTACGTTAATGTATGTCTTTCCATAGTAGATTAAATATGTATAAAACTTTCTGTGCTATAATAAAAATTCTCTGGAAATATATTATTTGGTTTTTTTATTGGTGCTTAAAATTACAATCACTGAAGATTTAAAAATAGGTTTTAATGAGATCTTTTATAACAAGTTTCATCTTTTGTGTATAAGAGATTTTCAATCCAACTTTTATTCACTTGGGAAGATAAATATAATTTTTTAAATGCAATTTTATGAAAAGAAAAAAGGAACATTTATTTATATATTATTAAGATCAGAATAATATTTTGGATAATGAAATATTTTTAAATTTATATACGAGTTTCAGATTTACATTCAAAATTTATGTATATACTTTTAAAAAAATTACACGTTTTATACAAATGTCCCTGTATGTTCTAAAATAAATGTGCTTAAACATGTATTAATTTCAAGTGGGATGTTTCTGTTGTTAATTGTGCTACCATTGATTTTATGTTAGTTTTTCTCTCATATTGCCTTTTTAAATTTTCTGCTGGTATAAAAAGATTCTGAATGCTAACTTATCTGTTCTGTAGGCTATAATCAATCATTAATTAGGTATCATTGGGGTTGGTGATGCATTTTTTTTTTTTTTTTTCTGTGAATTTTTATTTTTATTGGCATTTTTCCCCTTGTTCTTATAAGGTACCCTTAGAAGATCTTCAACAAGCATCTTCTCTATTATTGCAAGCTTTGAAGTTAAGACAGAAGTACATGTCGTACTCGGGGCAATCGTTTGCAGCCATTACAGCACGTTTTCTGAAACCTAGAGATGAACACTGGATTTTAAATGGCCAAAATGTAAAATTGGATGATTCTGATGGTCAGTATTTATTTATTCAGTTATATCTTAAAGAAGTGTCTTTATTTGAACAGTATTCAAATAATATTTATGCTACACACAGATATTAAGTTTGCTGTTAGTGCTAATTTTCTATTTGAATATGAGCTCTTTCAATATATCAAGGTTTTAAACTATTCTAGATATGTGTAATTTTTAAAGTTTACACAAGTACTGCCCTTTTTTTTGTATGTAGCATTTTTATAGTTCCACACTTAAAAAAACAATTTTTTCACCTGTTCTTATTTAGTAGAGATGAATAATCATAGTGAATTAATAATTTTATTCTGAAGATAATTTAATAAAGCTTCCTATTAAGAAATGAAAGCATGTGAAAGAAGTTTCATAATCCAATTCCGTATGCATTTTCAGCAGCTTTTGAATAATTTTCTGCATATTATATATTTTTTATAACTTTCTCGTCTTTTTAAAAATGCTTTGACTGATATTAATTGATGCAAATAACATGGAAATCATCTTATGTTCTGAAGTGTAATCACATTTGAATTGTTAATAGAAATATTTTTGATTTGAATGATAAATGTGTATTCTTTTGTAGTTTATTTTGAAATGTATGTTTATTTGATAAATTGTTCTGCATATTCTTCTATATACTGTTCTATAGCTTAAAATTCAAGCTATAAAACTGAAATAAATATTTTTGGTACTATTCGGTTTTGAGGGCTGTAAAAAAAATTGCAGCAAAAATGTATGCGCAAAAGCACCAAATCTAGAAAACGCGGCCATTTAACAGCTCGCCATATCTAGCATACGCGTTGATTTCAGATTGCATAAGTTTATATAGTTCTATATTTCTTAAGACGCCATTGACATACTAGTTTAATTTTTAAATCCTTTTTTGATATCCTATGGATTTAACAACTTGGAAATTGCCCACGTCGAAAAGTCGGCAATAGAATTTTGGGTAAAGTGCAGAATCACCCACTGCTTGATGCGTTTTCAAGAATTGTACATACTCTGTATCCATGTGCACATCGACCTATTTTCACTTAAAAAAAATCCTAGATTTGCACAAAAATGGCACTGCGCACACCCTTGACTTTATATGTACACATCGACTATTTTCACTTAAAAAGTAAAAGAAAATTGACAAGAGTTCAATTGTTTTACCCTTGTAAAAAGCGGCAAATAAATAAGTGAGCAATTCTGCACTTTACTGAGAATATTTTCAAAGAAAACGCATCATTCATTGTAGAAAATTACGTTTGAACAACCAACAAGATGAAATTATGCTTTAGCGATAAGTCGCTAGCAAAATAGCGATGCAGGCATCCATTCAGTTATATTTAGCAATTTTTATATAAATTATAATAATGATCTGAAATATTTATTTACTCTTATGCTTCCATTCAGTTATGTTTAGCCTTTTTCATATAAATTAGAATCATAAAAAAGTATTATATGAAGTTAACATTTTATCTAAATTAAAACATCAATCTTAGATAATTATTTACTATTATACTTCCTTTCTTGCCACAATTATTAGGGTTGCCGCAATTATTTTTGGCAGCATTGACATTGTTGTTGATAGTTTGGCGATTTTTTACAGCCCTCGAAACCGAATAATACCATATTTTTAAAAAAATTTATAATGATTTCAGGCAAAAATACCTGCTGGTATTGTATCACTTTTACAATTATTTATATGTAAAACAGTTTCTAAGATATTTTTATGTATTATGTATTTTTTTATATTTGAATATAATGATATTATTTTGTATATCCATGCCATCAGGTTATTCCGATTACTTTTTTAATAATACAAGTGAGTATGTCTTAGATTAAAAACAACTCTTTTCTGTTTAGTTACATTGATTCAAGTTTGTTTCATGCTTAGAGAAATTTTAATGTAAATTTATACATTTCTCATTTAAATAATTTTTTATATTTTAATCTATATAATTTGGCTGATATACAGTGTGGTCATAAAAATTCTTCTGCAGTATATAAACCTGCTTCAAGCACTCTAAATGAAATTTCAGATATTGTTTGAGATCTTGTTCAGTATGCTCTCGAGATTGTGATGATTTAAAACAATAAAGTTCTCACAGTTACAGTGAAAAATTCCAAAAATTTCAAATGGCAACACTGACTTTCTTCTTGCGCAAATTGATTAGTGCATTAAAAAATCCATAAATGGTGTTGCATTGATACATGTATCACAAAAATTGTTGGTGTAAAACATTTGCAAAGGAAAATATTGTAAAGGACCAATGATAGCAAAATTACAATAATGTTTTTTTCCCTCTTCTCCCTTTACAATGCTTTTCTTTGCAAATATTTTATGCCAGCGATATCTTTCATTTGTGTATTATCACAAAGCCGCTGATGGTTTTTCAGTGCATTGATCACTTTATGCAGGAAAAAAGTGAGTGTTTTCGTTAGAAAATTTCAAAATTTTTTCACGGTAACCATAACCATAAGACTTTTAAACTTTATGTCATATCTGCCAACTCTCTTGTTTGTACTGAGAGAATTGGCAGCTATAATATATATATATACAGTTTTTTCATTATATCTTCCAGTGTCCTTGGCAACATTCTTCAATATTTTAACTCCTGGAGATTTTCAGAAAAATGCATCTCTGAAGTCCCTAGGACCATTTTCTTCTGATATACCATATAAATAGGACTTTAAGTTTTGGCACAAGTCAGTTGTTATTCAGGTGTGAGAGAATTCGTTGCAAAAAGAGAACTGAACTCTCCTTTAGGGATATTACATGAATAATTTCAGGAATTTACAGTATTTCTTGTATGCTAAGGAAGGTTATATGTTTGCATTCTTCTTGAGCTGTTTACAGCTATTAATTTTGTTCTGTATCATCTTTAACTATACATAGAATTTTAGCTTGCACGAATATTATATTGGAAGCTGCTTATTCATAACTGAAGATGCTCTTAAAAAAATAGAATGGGAATTAAGAGTATATTACATATGACGGAAAATTAATTGTGTCAAAAGTACAGGGTATAAAATTAACATTAAAATATTGTCTTTTTGTTAGACATTTCATTTTTATTACATATTTATCTCTTTAACAAGTAGTTTTGCTTTGAGGAAAGAAAGGTTAGGTAGATTCCTACATGCCCTGAAATTAACTGTAATTTTTTAATGACTTAATATCTAAGATAACAAGTATAAGTTATTGGAGCAATTTGTTCTTTTTTTAGCTTTAGTTTTTCATTTTAATGTACTCAATTAAAAAATAAGAACATCTAATGATATTAGAATTTATATTGTTTTCTTGTCTAAAATAAGAAACACCCAAGAAGTGTTTTAGATTCATAAATCGCCGAATAGCGATGTTACCTTTGAGGCTGTGGCTTTAAAGAGTTTGCAGTACAAAGTAAAAATTTTGCAAATGACTGACAGATAATTGTGTAACTTCAGTGTTAAATTTAAAATATTTATACAAGTTTTTTTTTTTTTTTTTTTTTTGTTTTGTTTTGTTTTTGTTTTTTTTTTAAGTTGAAGCATTTATTGTGTTATCTTAGTTACATAATCTTTTCAGTTGAAAGCAGTAAGGTAAATGGTAAATTAAAAGGTAAAAGGCTATAAAAAATCACACTTCATTATTATTATTTTAACTTTAAATGTGTACCTTTTTAGCCCAGAAGGGCTATTAATTTCGTTTTGGCATTTTGAATTGTAAACTTTAAATGTGAGTTCACTTTTCAAACTGTTGCCACCAAATATTACAGCCCTGTATTATATTTAAAGAAATTAAATAACAAAGAATCTGCATAAATGTAAGCATGTTTTTGCATTGTGATAAAAGAAAAAATAGAACTTAGAGCCATCAAAATTTTGAATAATGTAATTCTCCAACGAATATGGGCATCTGGAAGCCCTGATTTGGAATTGGTTTTATTATCTATTTCATATTTTGTTACATTTTAACGAATTTTTGATTAACAAACTCAATGATTTAAAAGCGAGCAATGGCAACATTGTACGAAAAAAAAACACTTTTATCTCTAGGAACTGTATATCCAAAATTATAAAGATATGCTCAGTTAAAAATTATTTTGTGATACTGCTGTTGAACTGAATTTTATGGTTCAAGTGTGAAGAACATGATATTTAATAAATAAAGGTAACCCACGAAATGTTTAAAAAATGTCCCTTTGGAGGTAATGTAAAATCTGAAAGCTTTCAATTTTTTTTTTTTTTTTTAACTTCCAATTTATGTTGGCATATATGGCTGAGCATTAATATACTTGCTTTCACTATTAAAATTTCATGAGATGGAGCTTATTTGTATTTTCTGACTATTCATAACTTACTGCTTAAAAGCTTTTCAAATATTACCTTTATATTCATTTTTGACTATAAGAATGTATTTTCCATGTAACATTAAAATGTTTTGGCAATTTTTTTCTTTTTCTTTTTTTTTTTTGTCAAATAAAAACTTTACTCCTTAAAGGTTTCAAGAAAATTTTTACAAAAGGCCCAGTGCTGAAAGGTACTTAACATGCTTTTCTTATATTTAAAATATATAACCCAAACTAACTAATTTTCTTTGAAATTATGTGTGATTTTTGCAGCATGATTTTCTAACATCTAATTATCAAACTGCGTAGCTTAAAATCTTTAAGGCACTGTTTTTAAATCTGGGTTTTTCCAATGTAAAAGTAGAGGCCATCTAAATGTAACAAATTTAAATAGCATTTTTAATGAAGAAATGATATTTTGTATCAATTATTAAATTAATTGTATCATTGAGTGAATAATATTATGAGTATATATTCTCCTTCTCAGTGCTTATACATTCAGTGCTTCTCAATGCTTATTCACAAGTCTGAGCTTATACATTTTTCTAGGATCAAATTCAGGTAGTAAAGTACAAGAATCTGCAATTCTGTACTTTACATGTAATGACATTGATGCAATGAAATTTTGAATTATAATTTATAAGGTATTTCTCCCACCTTCTTGATGTGCCTTCGTGGTGTAGTAGTTCTGCATGCTGGGCCAGTATTCCAGAGGTCCTTGGTTCAATTCCCGCTGAAGGCAGTTGCTAATTTTTCATCTCTCCGGCTTTTCCAATTAACCTAATGTCTCTACAGTGGCACCCGAACTAAAAGGGTGGCAGTTGATGATTTCTCCCCACCCAGGATTTGGGCGATTGGGTCCCCTAAAAACTTCAGTCACCCTTTAAAAGGGGGAGTATATAAGGTATTTTTGCCACCTTCTTGGCATGCCTTCGTAGTGTAGTCGTTCTGCACGCTGGGCCGGTATCCCAGAGGTCCGTGGTTCGATCCCCTGCGAAGGCGGTTGCTAATTTTCCATCTCTCCGGCTTTTCCAATTAACCTAATGTCTCTACAAATTATCTTCAAATTATTTCATGAAGTTACAGCTTTTATTATAAATCTAATATATAATACCAAGGTATGAAAATACATTGTGAACATTTCACTATAATGTAGGGCTGTGTGTGCATAACTTTTCTGTTGTATTGCCTAATTTGCTAAATTCATATAAGATTGCATGCTTAACATTTTGTTCTTATTTTATCATTTAAAGCCACTTTTTAATTAATGAGAGCTTGCTTTTTATGTTGTTTACTTTTTAATTGTGAAAAAACATTGTTATTAATTCATTTTTATATAAGATATTTACAATATGTTATCAATATTTGTGTAGAATTGCCTATAACAGAACCTCCGACTGTTAAAGAACCATGGAAAGCAGAATATATTGAAGATTGGGATTGTCATTTTGTGATAGAAAAAGGGATTTTTGAAGTATTCCGAGCTCCAAAAGGAACCGAAGCTGCTAAGAAATGTGATTTTCATTTCCCTCCACTCTCTGAATTTGTTGCAGATAAACAACTGATGTGTGCTATGATAGCAGATGGCCCACTGTAAGAAACATGAATTATTGAATTTCATTGTCTTTTTTATATTGCTTTATTCTTATTTCTATAATATATGTGACCTGGAAAAATGGCATATAATTTTAGTACACAATAGCCTATTGATGACACACAATTAGTTTACTACACAACTCACCATCGAGATGACTTCATTCAAAGGAACAGCCGCCAACCGGAAGGTTAAGCAGGATAAGAATAAACAGGATATGTAATTTTATTTGAAAATGGATAAATACTGGTGATGGAATGTGAAAATTATGTTAAAAAATGTTAGTTTTAGATACATTATATCTGTAACTTGCATTTTTTAATTATCTGATTAATTAAAGAGTGATGTGTTCTTTTGAACTTTTGTTGGAATGATTTATCTCCAATTTGGTGGGATCTCCACTAACATTCATGGCCTGTATGATTTTATAATCGGATGAGATGTTTTTACTTTCATGTGAATGTGTCGACTTGTGTCTGAAATGCACCCCCCTTCCCCGAGATCTGACATAAATTTAAGTTTTTGGTGTTCAAGTTGATAACAAATAAGATGACTGTTCTTATGATTTTAGACCAGAGATTTGTTTTTCTATTTATTTGGCTTTTCTTCCATAATTTTCACGTAAGCAGCATTTGTCAATTTCCTAAGCTGTCCACCAAGTTCAGCTTTAACTGTATTAAGGAAAAAATAAGAATTTATGCAACTTGCATGTTCATCTGATTTTGTGGTGGGAATTAAAAAAAAACTATAAAAAAATCAATGTATGAAGACTTTACAGGCTTTGGAGTGGTAGCCAGAAATGAGTGCAGGAGAACCTTGCAAAGAGAATCATTTGTGCTAAAGAATGGGGGAAAAAAATTTATTTCAACAGTTAGGTTTTGCAGGCATGTTCAGCACACCATAAGCAGGTTTTACTCTGTTTAAAAAAGGGCCATGACATTTGGGAACTGGAAGCACATGATGAACTTCCAAGTTCAGCTGAATGGTAGTCAGCTGAACAGATAGCGCAAATAAATAGATAGTGCAAATAAAATTTTTTGTAATAAGTTAATTAAGGCTGAAATATTGCTTGCAAGGCAAATATGTAATGCCATTGAATTTTGCCTATTATGGAAATGCTTGTCAATGAGAACTGTAGCATTCAAAACGGAAAAATAATACTTCCAGTTACAAAACTAGTAAATTATGTGTAATGGTTATGACATGCTCTAACACACCAGGAAATTATAAATTGAAATTGGTTGTTATCAGAAGGGCAAAATATTCAAGGTCTTTTTAAGGGATGGAAGCAAACTACCCATTCACTATTTCAATCAGAAAAAAAGGTAGATGAAGCAAATTATATTTTAATGGTGCTTTGAAAAAAATTCTGCCTGTCATTGAAGAAGGTAGAATATTTGAGTGTGATACAAACATTCAGGAATTGTAACCCATAGATCATACCTGAATTACAAGCAGAATACCTGGCGGTGAAAAAGTGTGAAAAGCAAATATTTCAAAATGGAGTAGGATAGTGATTTGCCGAGATTTGGATTCAGAATTCTCACAAACACTCAAATTGTGAACTGTGTTAGCATGTGATAGTGAGGGGAGGAAGAAGGGAAGAGCAAACATTTGACAATAACTCACATGTGCTGCACTTGACCATGTTGAGTCCTTTTTTAATTATTTGGAAGAGCAAGATGACAGTTTGCATAAAGATAAGATAATGCTTCACAAGAAAAAATAATCATTAAGAAAGAAAGAAACAAAATTCTACCAAAAAAGTTCTGATTTTGTTGTTTGTTCTGATTTTGTTTATTTAAGTTTTTTTTTTTGTAAATATTGCTCTTTATTGCCATTTAGAACTCAGTTTCTAGTGAATTTATACTCTAAGTTAAACTGTTTACAAAGAGGTAAAGTCTGTGCAGTATTCTTTTCTATTAATGGCAATACTGGTTATTCCTCTTTCATGTTCTTCCCCCCTCCCAACTACATTCAGATTAACCATAATTTTGCATTACCACACACATCATCCGCAGTATTGTCTCGCTTAATCAAAAGTTTGCTGTATATACATTTGAATTAGAAGCGTTTTTATACAATTGCATATTCAGACTGATGTATAAATTGATCTTCAAGTATATCAATGTGTCTCTCTTTGAAAAGATTGATAACCCTTCAGAGTTCAAGAAAGACCTTATTTTTCTAGCAGTTAGTTGTTCTAAATATGAAATCAATAAAAATGTAATCCCTATTACATCTAAGAAACCTAATTATGACCATAAATTTATCCTTCAGATAGAATTCCAGGTCCATTAGATAGATAGTTTGTCAGTAGATGTTGCATAGAAAAATAGAGTTCCGTTTTGCAGTAGTTAAATTTGCATTTAATTAAACCCACTTGTGATCCACATCTGAGTAAATTTTACATTTAAAATTGAAGGAAGCTGACATCAGCATTAAAGTAGTTTTAGAAATCCCTCCTCGTTTCTTAACTGTCTGTATCCTTATTGACTTTCTTTTATGAATATTGAAGCTTTTTTTTTCCCTTACATTGTTTTCAAAAAAGTTGACTGGTCATTTGAAAGTGTAGGGAGGTTATTTGTCTTGCAAATTTTACTATTTGTTCTGTATCATTCGCAAGCATATATGAAAGCTGTTCATGAAATAACGGACTCATCTTACACTACTTGAAAGTCAGAAGTAATGTTATGTGTATGGATATCAGAGGTAACGTTGGGTGTATTCTTTGAGTACATGCTGAGTGTGCTAATAATGAAAGAAAATCAAGTGTTTGCTTAAAGCAACAGTCCTGTTTGCCATGCCATAATTATTCTACAATTTTTAAATGAATATGATAGGCTTTTCCCCCTTTATTTTCCATTTGCTACAATTATTATATGTGAGTTTAATAAAAAATATTTGAGCCATGCTAGAAAAATGCATTTAGTAATAGTTGTCTTCCTTCAAATCTTAGCCAGGTAAACGACTGCAAAATGAATGTGTTATATTTTTTTACATCTAGGGGCTAAGAGTTATTTCAGCTGACTGAACTAGGGATTATTTTCACATATGCTGGATAAAATACGTGGTATTTTCTCATATAAAGTCATTTTTAAAGACATCCCTCCTTACTCATGCCATAATTAATTAGCCAATAAGCAGTAACTTGTATTAAATACAGAGCTTGCTTATTTTATAATTCACATTGAATAAAATTCTTAAGTACAGAGCTTGCTTACTGTATAATTCACACTGAATACAATTCAACTTTACTAGATAATTAGAGAATGGTTAGAATTCATTGGTAAAAATATAAATTCACTTCATAATTACTGAATTGGTATTAAACAATGTTTCAGATTCTTTGTTTATAAAGTCATTGGCAAAAATATAAATTCTCATCACATTTGCATATGATGTATGTTTATATTTTTGGTTATTTGCTTATTAAAGATTTTAAGTTACTGTTATTATTTTCTTGACAGGAAATCATTTTGCTACAGAAGATTGACGTATCTCTCAGCTAAATATCAGCTTCATGTTCTACTAAATGAGCTTCGAGAGCTGGCAGCTCAAAAAGCAGTGCCTCACAGAGATTTTTATAATACTAGAAAGGTATTCTTTACTTTCTTATATTATTTATAGTATAATTTTTAAAGTTTGACTAGCACAGTTGCTTTTTGTTTTCAATAGATTTAGTATTTTTATGTTAATGATAAAGCATTGAGAATTTTTACTGTAATAAAAGCTGCTTACAGTTATTTTATGAGTGTGTTCTTAATAAGGAACAGGAATTCTTTCTTGAATCTAGGTTGATACTCATGTTCATGCTGCTTCTTGCATGAATCAGAAACATCTTTTACGTTTTATCAAAAAGTCAATGAAAGTACATGCAGATGATGTTGTACGAATATCTGATGGCAAGCCTATGACTCTAAAACAGGTAGTTTTATTATTGTTGGCTGTTTCTTGACTATACCTTGTGTTCTTATTACTACCAAATGATTATATATATGTCTTTTAATTTTTAGTCTGATTTGTGTATGCAGTGTAAATAATTTATATATTGATTCTTTGTTAAGCATTGTATATTTATATTTTCAGTTGATATCAGTTAAATTGTTAGTCTTGATAAATATTTGGACATTTGATTTTAATGCATTTGGAAAAAAAAATTAATAATCATTAATTTCACACAAAATTCTGTGAAATTAACTAAATAATTTAATGGGGGCTACCTATTTTCAAAATACAGGGTGTCCCACTCAAAAGGTGCCATTTGAAAAGTATGATAAAAATCGTAGAACAAGAGGAAATGAAACCAAATTTTTACATGAGATGTCTTTCTGTTCAAAAAATGGAAGTGCATTGCAAGAGATGTTGGAAGTGGCTTCAACACAGTTCAACACAATATTGTATTTTTAAGTATTTTACTGCTAGAGTACACGTGGTATAGTGATGAAGCATGGTTCCACTTGTCAGGTTACATGAACTAACAAAACACACATTTATGGAGTAGTAATAACCAGCGTGCAGTCATTGAGGAGACCCTTCATTCACAAAAGATGGGCGTGTTCTGTGCATTATAACAGCTGCACGTTTTCGGGCCAATTTTTCCAACACTACTGTCACCAGTGAAGTGTACCAGGCACTGTTTCGTGAATTTGTGAACCAGTTGGATGATAAGGAGCTGACACTTGGCTAGTACCAGCAAGGTATGCCACACGTCTATAGTAAGTATGATTGTGGTGGAATCATTTTTCCAGACTTGACCTCCTTAACTTCTTTCTGTGGGGTCATCTTAAAAGTACTGTGTACAAGCACAAATCACACACCACTGATGAGTTATGTCAGAACATCCATTGTAAAATTCAGGCAGTTATGCCCAATTCTCTAGCAGCAACACACGCGAACATGTCGTGCTGTGTTGAACTGTGTGTACAGATCACATATTTGTACTGTGTGTACAGGTGAGAGAGATCACTTCCAGCACCCCTTGTAATGCATTTTCATTTCTCAACATAAAGGTGTGTCATGTAAAAATTTTATTTCTTTCCTCTTCTTATAAGACTTTTACCACACTTTTCCCAGGCTCCCTTGCGAGTGGGAGACCCTGTATATAATTAGGTTTCACTAGTGTGCATGTGAATCGATGAAAAAAAAATATTTACCTATTCTTAAAGCATTTGCTTTTGTGCTTTTGCTATAAAACATTCAATTTTAATATATCAGATCTTTCAAGAACAATTTTTGAATACATTTTAGTTTTTCGTAACTTAACACAGGATTGTTAAGATGTGTTCTGATTAAATTAATTTACCCCTCATCCCCACTAATTAGATTTGACTTGAAAGAACCTGAAAGAAAGCTGTTTTATCTTGAGGTTTGAAAGTGTGGCAAAAAATACATTATTATTTTGTTACATGACATAATCCATTTGAAGGATTTTAAAATGTTCAGGAAAGAAAAAAGATAGCATTATTTGTGCTTTTAAATTTACTTTGGAACCTCAAGTCATGAATGGATATCATCATGAATGAATTTTCTGGTAAAAAAATTCTTGGGTAATGAATAGTTTTTCAAGCAATGAACACACAAGCTATATTGAATAATGCAATGAAACGGTGGAGGTGATCACATAATGGGATCAGGCAACATGGAAGGAACAATAAAAGGTGACTGTAGATATCATTAGAGGAGGCAGTTGGAAGATATATTCCTAGCTCTTCGTGAAACTGTGTATAGTAAGTTGAAGTCCAAAGTTTTCTATAATGATATCACCTGATAGAGTTGTAGGGATTTATATTTATTTTGACTAACCAGTTAAGTTTGTGCTTTCTTTCCTATAAGCTTTCATTCCCTTAATTGTCAATGTCAGAATATGTAAAATTGGTTGTGTGCGTGAATAAATGCAAATTCTACCATTAGGAGGAAAGGTTTAAATACGGATCTCTAGAAGGGAAAGTTGGAAAGAGTGGACAAGTACTGTAATTAATTTGCGTAACTGCTATTAATTTGCTGCCACACTTCAATGCAGTTTTAGGTAACAGGATTATTTGAGCCCAGGGGAAAATTATACTTTTTTGTAATATCATTGAATTTTAAGTTTAGTTCTTGTTAGTTGAGTTACCACCTGAGCAAGGCGTAGTTAGTGTCAAGTCGATGCCTTGTAAATTTTAAAAAAATTAATAAATTGTTCTTTTAACACCCTTCCTGTCTGGTTCCTGCACTTCAGCAGTCACACTGAAAGTTTCAGCAACTAGTTACTACAGAGTAATTGCCACACCATATAGAAGCAATTGAATTGATGCTACATAGTTCTCAGACAAGTGAGAATTCTGTTCATACAGCTTCATTTACTGCAAGAAAAACAAACTTTTTTTTTTTACATCAGAAGAGAGATGTCACGAGAGCAGCTGTACTTACTGTGAAAATTATTCAAATTTTGTCTTATTAAATTATGTGTAAATTGTGTATACAGTGAAAAAAATTGCATTTAGTATTGGCATACGTTTAGTATTAGAATTTTTATCATTATTTTAATTCTAATAGGTGTTTGAAGCTTTGAATCTGACTACATATGATTTAAGTGTTGACATGCTGGATGTTCATGCTGTAAGTGACAAAAAAATTTCATCTTTATAAAATTTTTTAAGTTAAACTGTTTTATTGTGCATTTTTAAATGTGTGCTATGTTTTGTTTAATTTATTGGATGTGCAAAAAAGCAGAACATGTTTGTTAAACAGTTTTTTTTAGCCTAAAGGGTCACTTTGCCAGAAGGGATATTAATTTCGTTTTGGCATTTTTCTTTGATTCACTATAAACGAGAAATCATTTTTTAAATTGTTGCCACCAAATATTAGAGTCCTGCATTATATTTAAAGAAATTAAATAATGAAGAATATACACAAATGTGTGTATGTTTCTCGCACTATGATAAAACAATGGTACCTAAAGCCATCCAGTTTTGAATAGTGTATGTCTCCACCCGAATATGAGCATGTGGAAGCTGAATTTGGAATTTGTTTTATTACCCATTTCATATTTTGTAAAGCATTTATGAGTTTTTGATTAAGAAACTCAACAATTTCAAAGTGAGCAATGGCAACAAAGTACGGGGAAAAAAAATAATCTTCAGCATGCGAGACTGTGTATAAAAAATGTTAAACATATGCTCTTTTAAATATTTTGTGATATTGCTGTTGAATTAGATTTTAATTTTAAGTGTGCATCTTTGGGCATAATATAAAATCTGGAAGCTTTCGTTTCCCCCCCCCCCAAATATTTGAAGTTTTGTATCAGCACTAATATGTACTATATGCAAAAAAATTAATTAATAAATAAATGCCTTTAATACTTAAAGGAGTTGAATTTATATTAAAAGGTGTTCATTCATATTAAGAATATATGTATTTGATCTTTACTTCAAATTGTGCAGTTTTTATTTAAAAAAATTAATTTCTGTAATAGATTTAAAATTAATATAATAATTTCTTTATTATCTGACTTAAAGTAAGACATTAAAAATTTTTTATGTAAGACATTAAAATTTTTGAAAAATATTTAAAAGCTGAAGTATGGTCTTTAAAGAGCATCTCTTTTACCTTAAGCAGTTATTTTAAAATAATTTATAGTATGCAAAATTTGTCTGTAATAAAAGTACAACATCTATTAAGAATAGTATGCACATTCATATAAGAAAACATTTGTAAATTATAAATTGCAAATTAAAGTTTTCTTGATTTATGAATGTCAGCGAACATGTAACCTTTTTTTTTTTTTTTTTTTTTTATGTGGAAGCTTTCCAAATACATTTGAAACAGTATTTTGCTGTAACAAGTGTAAGTTGAAGCAAAGGCAGCATCTGTGCATCTAACTAGGCATGTTATGTATCATTGGACCTTCCATATTGCTGAGGTTCCACTCCAAATGGGAAGAAAGAACACCTCTGGGTGCATTTTGAGGGTCTCCCAACTCTCTTATTCTTGCATCAACCTCTTTAGAGGATTTCAGTTCACTGTGTATTTTGTTGTAACAATAAAATTTGCTTAAATTATTTGTTAGTATAAATGTTTAGAAAAGAATGTTTAGAAGGATTTTTATCAGGGCATAATGAATTTGTTAATAACATAATAAAAAACTTGTTAATAACTAACTGCATAAAAGATTTTTTATGAAAAATATGAAATTTTATTTTAAAGAGAAAAAACATTTGCTGTCATCTATTGCATCTGTAACTTACAAGGTGCGACACACACACACACAAAAGCGACTACTCCAATAAATCATTGTACTTACAGCATCAGTTCTCCTTGACATTATCACCTTCAAAGTAGTTCCATTCAGTATTCACACTCTTCTGCATTTGGTGCTACCATTGCTGGTAACAGTTCCAGAATGAGGTTTTTGGAAGGCCTTTCAGGAGATTCTCCATTTTTGCTTGAACCTCTTCAGCTGAGGCTAAATGTAAACCCTTTAAGTAAGTTTTAATTTTAGGAAATAAAAACAAAAAGTCACATGGAGCCAAATCAGGTGAATAACGAGGATGCTCCATCACAGTAATGTTTTTGCTGGTCAGAAACTGCTTGACAGATAGGGCCGTGTGAATGGGTGCATTGTCTTGGTGCAACAGCCATTCATCATTCCGCAACTATGGCCTTTTTTCACAAAGTAACTTCAGTGTTGATTAACCTTTTCGCGATGGTGCACCTTTGTTTAAGACGCTCGCGCGGGACGGAAGGGAATCGAAGACAGTCACCGTACATGACGGAGGTTTTGCGCCTCTAGGCCTAATTTTATAACAAAAATTAGAAAAAAAAAAAAAAAGTTTCTCATCTTGCATTGTAATTTTTTGTATTATTTTAGATTATTACTTGAACTCTTATATATGTTAAAATTAGCACTTAAAAATGTTTTTTTCTCTATTTTACATGAAAATATACTTAAAAATTTCCTTATCTTGTAAAATAATTTTTGGAAGCGCTATTCAAATTATTCTAAAGTTTTAATTGATAAAATCCATCAATAAAGTTTTAAATTAATAAAACAACACATTAAGTGTGTTACAAATTATTTACAGTAAGAAGTAACAAATTTTAGAATGAAGACTGTGATAAATCTCAAATTATGGAGAAGTGTCACTTTTTAATAACTCTTAGAAAAAGTATCACTTTCTAACTCTTTAGAAAATGAATCATCACTTTCATCTGCATTAATAAATGGTTCATTGACCATACGAGGGTATTCTTCCTCTGATAAATAGTGCCTTTCCGCTATAAAAGACTGGAGGTGAGGCTGTTCGAAATAAAAAAAGAAGAAAAGGAAATATATCTGAAGGGCAATGCAAAACGTAACAGTACTCCACATACTAACCCTAAAAGAGCGTACATAGTAAAGGAAAAAAAATAAAATAAAAAAAGGAATTGGATATAAATCAGACACGCGAATGTTTTCATTGGCACACAGTGATTTAAATAGCTCACCTCTGTTTACGCTCCCCCCCCTTGCAAGAGCTGAGGAGTAAAATACCAAAGTCAAGCAGATATATCAAACTCAAGGTCAGGAACTTAAAACTGTGTTCATTTCAAAAGTAATGGGACACCCGACTGTAAGAGACATTCTTAGGGAATGCGTATATGGGACGCCCGTCCTGAAAGGGTTAACAGTTTGACCATTGGGAACACATTCAGTCATGATGAACGTGCTGTGCTCCTAGCATGTTCATCAACTTCCATACTGTCCCTTCCCCCTAAAAAGCACTTATTCAATTTAAACACACATACATGAGACAAAGTTTCATGACCATAAACCTCGGTTAACATTTGATTTGTTTCCTCCGTGGCTGATTTCTTAAGTTTCACTAGAAACTTGATGCTGATTCGCTGTTCGGTTTTTACATTAGGAATTTTTCTGGCAGAATGCAGTTGCGCATGTTCACTCAATGACACAGCACTCCCCACTGCCGTGGTCGGTTAAGTCAAAACTGGCCACATGGATAGAGGAGGTGTGTGGCATGACGTCACCAAAACAGTTGCCAACTCTCTCTGTTTTCAAGCTATATACCTAGTCTCTCTCTTTTTTTTTTTTTTTTTTTTTGTCACACCTCATGAGTGGGTTCTCTTTGATTATCCATTCACCCCTGAGTAGTAGGCAACCCACGACATCGCCAAATTCTATTTATCTGGCAACTCAGGTACACTTGCAGCAGATGGGAGCTGATTATCGCCTTCAAATTTGGTGGTCTTTTTCTAATTAGTATTTGTTTTTATTGCATTCAAGTGCATTTTTTTCCCCTTATAAAGAATCGTAATGGGATTGTGGAGTTTTCTGGCTGGTTGCAAGAAAGCATTTCATTTCTTCATATGTGTTTTATTCAAAGATAAGAAATGAAAGAATTCCCATTCCACGATTATGTACTTCATAAGTGATCAAATTTAATGGATCACAATTTGTGCATGATGCCAAATTTCTGAAAATCTTTTTTTTTTTTTTTTTAATAGCCCAGAAGGGCTATTCATTTCATTTTGCATCAAATCGCTATAAACGGCATATCACTTTTCAGATTGTCACCACCAGATATTACTGCGCTGTATTATATTTAAAGAAATTAAATAACGAAGAATCTTCATGAATATATATATATGTTTCTCATATTGTGATAAAACAACGCTACCTAGACCCATCAAATTTTGAATAATGTAATTCTCCACCCGAGAATGGACATCTGGAACCCCAAATTTGGAATTTGTTGTATTATCTATTTCATATTTTGTAAAACTTTAATGAATTTTTGATTAACAAGCTCAACAATTTCAAAGCGAGAAATGGCAACACTGTATGGGAAAAAAAAATTATCTCCAGCGCATGAAACTGTGTATTGGAAATTCTAAATCTATGCTCTCTTGAAATTATTTTGTGATATTGCTGTTGAATTGAATTTTATGGTTTACGTGAGAAGAACTTGCCCACAAAATGTTAAAAAAAAGCCCCATTGGGCATAATGTGATGTCTGAATTTTTTTTAAGAGCAAAAAGAGATTACTCTGTACATGGAGAAAATAACTGTATGTGCAGCAGCACATGATGCTGTGGTTATGCAGGACTCTGATTTTTTTTTAAAACTTAAACAGATCACTAGATCACTGTGCATATGCAAAGAAGTGTGCAAAAAATAATAAATATTTTCTTATGGATTTGACTTACATTTTTTATTTTGTGAATTGGATTTTGTCTTATGTAATTCTTAGTGCACTGCCATTTTTGAAAATGGCTATTGTCTTTTGTCTCGTAAGCTGGCAAAAATTAATTCCTAACAGCCAGCAGCATTAATTTAGGTGTGGATAAATCAGAGTATAATCAAGGGGATGTGGATAATCAGAAAGTACCCTTAGATATTTAGCTGTACTGATTGCATTCTTTAAAAATTAGAATCCAAATAAAACAAAATTTTATTACAGCTTTCAGGCAGTCTAAAGTATTTAACAAAAGTTGGTTAAAGAGATTATTCATTTCTTTTAGTATTTCTTAGAGTAAAACATTTCATTTCTCTTTACAGGATAGGAATACTTTTCATCGATTTGATAAATTTAATGCAAAATATAATCCAATAGGTGAGAGCTCTCTCAGAGAAATATACTTAAAGACAGACAATTATGTTGAAGGAAAATATTTTGCTGCAATACTAAAGGTAATCTTTATTTTTTATTTATAGATTTGTCTAAAGTTTGCTTTTAAAATGCTTGTGAGATTTATAAGCAGGTTAAAAAAATTAATTCTCAAATTTCCATGATTATATTTAATATATGTTTAGAATGCAGTTAAATCCTAACCTTTAATGTTCTGCCACAATAAAGACACATTCTTTTAATTGTGCTAAAAAATATGATTCATATATATTGAATATGAGGGTCATTCTGAAACTTTTGAGATACAAATAGGTTTTTAAAGTCATGAAATCTTAAGAGTGTTCAAAGTAGTCTTCTCCAGATCAGTGCACTTCTTCGGGCGAATTTTCCAAAGATAAATACCTCAAGCCATTCAGTTCTTGAAATCAGTGGAAAAAATACATTTATATCCTCATCAATCTCATCTTCTAAATGAAAACAATGTGCATGTGAGTTCTTTTTTAGATTAAAAAGTACCCAAAAATCACATATAGCTAGGTCAGACGAATAAGGTGGATGTTCCGTCACTTTGATGTGTTTTCGTTCAAGAAATTCAGTTGTCGATCTTGCTGAGTAAAACATGCTTTATCATGGTGGAGTATGAATCCTTTAACATTAACTTCTTGAAGAATTTCTGGAAGATACATAGTGGTTTACTATTTAGCTGTGTCTATCTTCTGTCCTTCCAGCCTAATGGTTTTGTCCAATTCTGTACTTCTGAAGAAAATGACAAATATTACTTTTTTCATGGCACATTATCTTTTCCACCAGTGTGGGCATGGGGTCATCTTCCATACTTTACTGTCTTGATGTATTGAAATGTCAAAAAATGGTATGTAGATTTCACCACCGGTTACAATTTTAGAAATACAGTGGAATGTCAAGATATGAGTTTAATTCTTTTCAGCGCAGAGCTTACATAGCGAATTTCTCATATCCAGAAACAAATTTCCCCATTGAAAATAATGGACATCCACTTAATCTGTTCTGCATCCCCTAAAATAACAACAAAAATAAATTTTTCTAATAAATAACACTGGTAAATAATGCAACCGTAGTTTATCTTTATGATAGCTTCTGACACTGACCTTAACAGCTTCTCGTTAATCCACACCAACAACAGCTTCTAGGAGTTTTGCACATTGCTTGGAGGTAACGGTAACTCCTTTGTCTACATCAAGCTTCTTAATTTCTTCCTTTTTCTTCAGAATAGTACAGATCTTTGATGTCGAGGCCGTTAAGTCTTCGCCAATTCCGCATTCTTATACTACGCTTATGTTTATCTATGATTTCTTTCTTAATTTCAACAGCCATGGCTTCCTTCCCTTTCTTTGCAGCACTATCTGAGGCAACAATCTTCTTGGGAGGCATCATGAAATAATTACTTTCGCTTTAAATGTAATAAACAATTAACTCACAAATGCCAAACAAGTAGATCACTGATTCTTAGAGGCTCTGATAAATTATGGGAAACCCAATGGCAAACTAGTTTTCCATATGCAATTCTTCATGAATAATTTTATGTATGGTGGTGGGTGCAATGTTAAGTTCCTTCAGTATCATTTGGTAGGTGCAGTTATCAGCATTGATTAACATTTTCTGTATAGTAGACACATTACCCGGGATTACTGCTGACTATGGACGTCCTGCGTGTTCTTCATCCTGAAGAGGGTTGCGATTTTTGTGAAGTTCTGTAAACCATCTGAATACAGTAACACGAGATGGACCTTCATTTCCGAATGCTAATTGTATGTATTTAACAGATTCTTCTTGATTTTATTCTACCTTAAAATCACAGTGTAATAATTTTCTCATGTCAGCTCCATTTTTCCATCTGCATAATTTTTTTTTTCCGCTGAATAAAAAATCTTCTGCTAGGCTGAAATACTTCATATTTTCAAATCTAACCATTAATTTTTTTCCTGCCACTTATCGTCTGCATGCATCTAAAAAAATTTCAAAGTGACCTGTGTATAAGAAGAGAAAATTAAATATTACCATTTGTTGCCATATTTGTCAACATTCGTTGTAGTTGACAATTACAAATTATGCAGCGGAGTTAACAGATAACTGCCAAGTATATGCTAAGAATACTTGTAATTTTTTAAACATGACTGCTTTTTTTTTTTAAATAATACCTGCATGCTTTATTATGCAGTCACCTAATCTTCTCTTTTTATGATGTGAGTATGCATACATATTTGTAGGAGAGATGGACAGTTTTATATATATTTGAACTGTATTGTATGTAAATAAATTCCTAAAAAGTTGGGTTTAGCCTAGTATTTTATTTCTGATATTTAACAAGCTACATTTGCATATTTGTGAAGTTTTTATTCTTTTGCTTAAAGACAATTATCTATTAATTCCCTTCTGCACTGAAATAAAGGAAAGGCGAATGATTATCTGTCTAGATTGTCAAATTCTGTCATGTTATTACAACAAACAATCTTAATTATTTTTGTTGATTTTTTGCATAATTGTTCATTAGGTACTTGTTAAAGCGGTCAATGGATAAACCCTGAGCCACATTTGAAATTTTAATATTACTAGTAAATTATTTAGTTTGACAAACAAACACTGTAGCCACTTAAACAAGGAAGTGCCCGTTTTTTACATTACAGTCAAAGCACACGTACTTGAAATTTACTTGTAGATGATTAGATAAATTATTCTCATTGATAAATGTTTTAAAGTGCTCTAAATGTTAGCACTGTACAATTTATAAGTATAGAAAATGCAGCTATAGGTATAAAAGAAATGAAAAATTAAAAAGGTGAATTTTTCAGATTTAAAATGGCAATAGTGTAATATTCACAATGAAAAATGTATAAAAATTATTTTCATAGGTTGTAAAAAAAATCTAATTATGCATCATTTTCAGTTGAGTTATATTTATTTTCATGATTTTTTATAGAAATTATGCTCCAAAACTTAGCAAATGTTTTGAAGTTATAGTATGACAGATGCTATAAAAGAGTTTTCTTTTTGACTGTTTTAATTTTTGAGTGTAAGAATTTACAGCAGAATGTTATGTTTTATGCAAGATTGGTCTGTCTTCATTTATTTAGTTCCATTTATTATATATAAATATAATGATACATAAACTCCTATAAATGATACAATTAAAAAATATTTCAAGAATATTCGTTATCATTTAGTCATGGTACACAGATCTTTTGCATTATAAAGTCATTTTTCATATTTCTTAGCATTTTTCTCCCTCCCCCCCAATTTCTTCCACACATTTTATTGCAGCATTTCATACTTATTGCTGATGAAGAAAGGCTTGGAAAATATGTTAAGCCATATGTATTAAAATAAATATCACAAATATTTTTCAATTATTTTGAAAATGTGTTTTTACTCTTTATATGATATTTGTTCTTCACAGTTTAATAATTATGTCATATTCTTCATTTAGGAAGTGATTAGTGATTTAGAAGAGAGTAAGTATCAAAATGCTGAATTTCGCCTTTCCATATATGGACGCAAGATGGAGGAATGGGATCGTTTATCCAAATGGGCATATAAACATAATGTATATTCAGATAATGTAAGGTGGCTCATTCAAATCCCTCGTTTATAGTAAGTATTATAAATATGTACATTTTATGTTGGAAGTTAATGGGAGAGCAAGATGTTTTATTAACTAAACATTACATTATATTTTACAATTCAGATTTTTGTCTCTTAATAGGTTTTTGGTTTTATAGTTAAATGTAAGCAAAATATATATTTTTATTGCTTGTGGTAGATTTAATTATTTAAAAAAGGTAAAATGTCTCGATTATTATAGGTTACTTAAATTAATAAGTATCACTACTTCAGTTGGTGTGGCATCCATATGATTTTATGTGTAAATTTTGTAATCCAAAATAATTGAAAAAATAAGTAATTATAAGATGTCAAATAAATGAACTGAAATCGTTAATTGAAATAAAAGTATGCAGTGATAATAGCATTTTATTTATTTTTTATTTCAGGAAAATTAAATTTTTATTTTAGTTAGATTTTCAAAAGATTTTTGATTTATTGTATGATATTTGTTGTTTGTTTTATATTCTTGTTTATAATTCTTAAAACTGTCATGTTTCTTTATTCCAGCGATATTTTTAAATCTAATAAATTAGTTAATAATTTTCAACAAATTTTGGAAAATATATTTCTGCCACTTTTTGAAGTTTCTGCAAAACCATCAAGTCATCCAGAATTACATTTATTTCTGGAACATGTAAGTACCATTAATATCCATTAAATATCTTGCAATTTACCTTTAAATTTTATTCTTTTATCTGGGCAAAAATATACAAATATAATATATTAACAAGTTTTTCCATTTTGAAAAATCACTTTTGAGATAAAAATCTTCAAAAAAAAAAAAAAAAAAAAAAATGAAATGCAATCTAAAATTACTTAATAGGAATGTTCCCTGCACATTCCACTTTTTTAACACTTTATGTTTTGTTAAGAATCTTTATGTGAATACTTGGAATTACTAAGGATTCTGAGAGTTTGAGCCTCATACAGATAAGGGCTGGCTGCATTTTATAGTATTTTAAGGCGGATTATACCCAGCGAACTAAATTAAAAAGTCAAAGTAAGCTATTTTAGCTCTTTTTCATTTTCTTTTAGATTTAAGAAATAAATTGCACATTGCTCTATTTTCCAGTGTTATAAACATTTTTTTTAACTTCTTAGACAATCCGAAACAGTATTTCATAACCTGTAAAATATATTTTGCAAATCTGGACAAATATGTAGCAATTTTTATGCGAATTTTTTTCTGAGGGAGCGGGATCAAAGTTAACATTTTTATAACTTTGTTGTTCTTTGTTGATTAAATTCATATGTTTTGTGTTTGGGATTATAGGTTACAGGTTTTGATTCTGTTGATGATGAATCAAAGCCAGAAAATCCTGTTTTTGATAAGGATGTTCCTGTACCTCAAGACTGGACTGACCCTGAAAATCCACCATATTCATACTATTTATATTATATGTATGCCAATATATGTGTCTTGAATCACTTCAGAAGGTAAGAAATTCACAATTTATGCTTATTCAGTTTGATTTATAGTTTTAGTTTTATATACTTGTTTCTGCATATATTTTTATTAGGACTTTCTGGAGAACATGCTATTTGAGATGAAATGCAATAATAGTTCAACTATTTCATTGTAGAGCAGATAAATATTTTAATTTCAGATCATATTAATAGAGAAATTTTGTATGAAGACAATTAAACATTTCAAGTGGTCTTTGGTAATATATAGAAACGAGGAAATAAAACCGTCTCTAAAATGCATCCAAATAAGCTACATATTACTTACAGATTACGAGCTTATTTTTTGAAAAATTACACCATTTTTGAAATTGTGATAAACTGTGGCACATATAGTTAACCCACACTGATTTTAAGACAGGCTTAAAACAATGCATTAATATAAAATTAATGTTGCTAGCATGTCTGGAAGTTGACATGCATGTACCTCCATAGGTCCTCGTCAGTGGCCTTGACCTCATCAACAATAGTTTGTATAACTTCTTGAATGCAAGGAAAGTGATAAAAGTATGTCTTTATAGCACATGAACTCTTACAGAAAACAGTCTGGTACACATTGGGGGTGGGACAGTTCTGTATCTCTCGTTCTACTGGACCAATTGCCAAAATTTAACTTGCGTTTTCCATGTCTCAAAGCACGACTTAGCATGTATGTTAGATTTATATATAGCATTGTTCTAACATAGATATTTTGACACAAAAGTGGTCTTTTTCGGAAATAACATACCAATTTTTTCTCTATTTTGATTCTATGACTCAAATGGGACCAAATTGCCAAGTTTTGTAAAAGTCGCAAGAGTAGTTTTTGGAAAATTAGCTGTCAAAATTTTAGCTCCTCCATGTTAATTTAATTGAATTCTGTATTTATTTATTAATATCTCATTTTTATTAAACTTATTTGATTCTTCCTTTCACATTTTGAAATTTAGGTTCAATCCAAAATAAATTTCCCCCATTTTTTGATTTATATTTAAATTAGGTATTTTAAAATAATTTTTATAAATTTTTCAAAAAAAATTTTGAATCATATGTGAATCATATGGAGGCTCATGAAGAGTAAGGTTTTGGTTTGAGTTAGAAAGTTTTCAGTTCTCAGAGTTTAGGTTTCCGATTATCTATCAGGATTAAGCAAACTTCATGACATAGATTAATCTAAAAATGTTATTATTTTTAGAATGAAGAAGGGATTTAAAAGTATTCCATTACTATTAATTGAATACCTTTAATAGTAATTATTATTAATTTTATTTGAAAGACAAATATTTTATATTTTACATGTATATATATAAATTACAGCCAATGTACTTAATAAGTTATATTTTACTTATTTCATCCAAGAATTTTTTTTTTGTCTGCTTAATATATCTTTATTATATAATAATCGTTCCCTTATATAGGTTTTGGTGTCATCTGATTTTGAAATATTAAACCTGGATGTAATAATTTTATATTTAAAATAAAACTCATTTGTTGTATCTTTTTTTTTTATTATTATCTCTGCACAATTATATTATTTTCTGAGATTGTGAATGATTTTAATTTACCAGGTGTAAAAGAAAGTATACTAAAATGTATCTCAATGTATGCATATAAATTATAGGCTTAGGGGACTGAATACATTTGTCCTTCGGCCTCATTGCGGTGAAGCTGGTCCTATCCAACATTTAATCACAGGTTATCTTCTTAGTGAGAACATTTCGCATGGCTTGTTACTGAGGAAGGTATTAAAAGTTTTAATGTATTTTTTCACTTTTTAGTGTATTAATTAATGTTCAATGAATTGGGAGTGCTTGCTGAATATTTGATAGAGGATTTATATGTAAAATATAAGAAACATGATTGCCTTGCTCTATATGCGAACAAGCAATCTCAGGATCTTCCCCCTAGACCAGTACTTTCGAGAACATTCGAGCCTATTACATAACCGATCCTATAAATAGAGAACTCGCGCCATTTTGCGAGTGAGATCGCTTTCTGCCTCTACTGCTGTTAGGATCAGTGCTGCTTCTCTCATCTGCCTTCCTTTGTCAGAATACTATGATGCAGTGAATTTAATCTTATTTAGTAAAGAATGATAATATGCCTTTTGAATTGAATAAAGATGTGGAATCAAAACAATTAACTTCTTTTGTGTTAGCATTTCTGCCAAGCTTCATTCATGTGCCTGACTGCCAAAATATTACATATATATATAATATGAATATATGATAGGAGGGAGTCTGGAAATTAATTAATGTTGCTTTTTGCTAATTAAAACTTTTTTTTATGCAATCATATTAGGGAAACTGATCAAAAATTAGTTGTTGCATTATTGGTGATCACAAATTGACCTAGTTGATGCATTCATAGTCATTGCGATACGTCTGTGGCGTGTGCATAGTCCTGGTTTCTGATTGTATATTTTGTGTAAATAGTTCTTAAAAGAATTATCAACGAAGACAGCCAAATGTTAAGCACAGACTTGTTTTCCTACTAGAATGTAATGGAAAAGTTATCGACCGCGTGTTGCCTGTAGCTTGACTTCACTGCCAGCTTACAGTGATCGCAAGAAAACTACTTTCACAGGTTATAACAGAATGAAGAACTATTGGGTTTGGAAAGTAATTTTTAGACCAAAGGGACTTTGTCCCTGAAGGACTATTGTTTTCGTTTCGCGATTTTGCGTTGAAAACTTTAAAAGGCTGTATCACTTTTCAAATCTTTGCCGTCAAATACTGTCACCCTATATTATATTTGAAGAAATTAAATAATGCAGAATCTGCATTAATGTATATATGTATGTTTCTCACATTGTGATAAACAACGGTACCTAAAGCTATCCAATTTTGAATGACGTCATCCTACTGCGAATATGGGCATCTGAAAGCCCAAATTTTGAATTTGTTTTATTATCGTTTTTATATTTTGTAAAACTTTAACGAATTTTTGATTAACAAACACAAGGATTTCAAAGTGAGCGATGGCAACACTGTGCAGGGTGAAAAAAAACCTTTTTATTTCCAGCGGGTGGAACTGTATATCGTAAATTCTAAAGGTATGCTCATTTTAAAATTATTTTGCGACATTTTATTTGTAAATTTTAAAATTATTTTGAACTGAATTTTATGGTTTAAGTGCAAAGAGTAAAATTTGATAAATAAAGGTAACACACGAAACGTTAAAAAAAAAAAGCCCCCTTAGACGTAATTTAAAATCCGAAACCTTTCAGATTTTAATTTTTTATAATAATTTTTTTAATGCAAAGGAAAGAAGATTTTCTTATGGTGAATAAATATTTTATTGAATTATATGTTGTTCATTCTGGTCCAATACCTTTTTGCCATCTTTTTGGTAGTAGCATGATTCCATGCCTATAATTTTTTTTTCTTTGCTGGCAAAAAATTGAACCATGTGATTTTTGACTTCCTCATTTGAAGTAAAGATTTTACTATCTAAAAAATATTGTAGAGAACGGAACAAATAATAATCAGAAGATTTTGGATCTGAAAAATATGGTTGGTGTGTGTGGCAGTATATACAAACCGAGCTTTAAAAGCTTTTGGCGAGTTACCAAACTTGGATGAGGTCGCGCATTACCTTAGTGGAACACTACACCTTTTCTATTGATCAATTCTGTCCGTTTCTGCTTAAGTAATTCATTCAGTTTGTCTAGCTGATGACAGTACACTTCAGAGTTGATCTTTGTGCTGTCCAATTGAAGCTAACAAAAAAAGATTCCTTTGATTCCTTTTTACCTTCCATCAAACAAGTAGCATCATCTTTTTTGATGAATGTCAGCTTTCGAAGTGCTTTGGGCCGGTTCATCTTTTTTGCTCCATGATGTCTTACGCTTAACATTGTTCATTGTTGCAGATAACCCACTTCTCATCCCAGTGATGATATGCTTCAAAAATGGATAATTTTCTTGACGTTTGAGAAGCCAATCATAAACGTCAATACGATGGCATAAATTTCTTTCTGCGAGAACATGAGAAACACATAATTCAAGCTTTGAGATTAAACCTATGCATTTCAAATGATAATGAATGGTCGAATTAGATAAATTTAATCTCTTCGCGATCTCACCAGTTTGTCATTCGCCGGTTTGCATCAGTTAATGCCTTTACTGTGTCTTCATAAGTGTTCTGTCAATAAATCTCCATACACATCAAATATTTTTTTTTTCTTGCTTGAGTAGCATTTTTATCTTTTCAATAGTAAAAGAGTAAAATATGCCGAAAATGCTGCTTTTCACTTTCCATATTTGGAAGGGCATGAACCAAAAACTACTGCTTAGACTCAATTGAACTTTTAACGAAGCCTTGTTATATATTAGCTGTTAAAATATATAATGATTATATGACTAAAGTGTAAAGTTGGCTGTAAAAAAATACAATTAAGCCCTCTGTTGGGGGGGGGGGGAATTACTTTTCGAACAACCCAACGTTTGAAAACAGGAATGCTAAAATGTAGAATTTAGGTTTGTAAAATTTTAAAGATAGAATAAAGTTTAAATTGAGTTTTTTTTAAGGAGATTAATATTAGAATTAAATAGAAAACGGAGGTTAATGAATAAAATTTGAAAGTAAAAGAAAATTTGGAATTATTTTGAAAAACAGTAAATAAGCTGGGATGAAAGTAGATAAATATAAGGCTTTAAAAGGAGAATTAAGAGCTGAAAATTCATTAAGAGAGAGCTGCAATGTAATTGTGTAAAATTTTACTTTTATTTAGCCCAGTTATCTTATAATTTTTGCTTTTCTATATTTCCCACTTATGTCACCACCAGAATGCATATTAGTTTAATATAGATATATAAGCTTCTGGTTGTGAGATTTTTTAGAGAGGTTTTAGAGCAAAAGCTGGCTGTTGTATTAATTCATATTTTCTATTGTTGCCATTTAGGTTGCCATTCGAATTAAGGTTGCGCAAACAATTTAGCCTTGAAGTTAGAACTTCAAGGCTAAATTGTTTGTGCAACTTCTGCTAATCACAGCTTAATTTGTTCAGGTACTTTGTAGAGTCATTAGGATATTTTTAGACGAGATGAAAAATATGCAGCCGCCTTCGCCAGGAATCGAACCACGAACTTCTGGAATACTGGCCCAGCGTGCAGAACCACTATGCCATGAAGGACGCTAGGAAGATGGGAGAAATACCGTATATACTCCCCTTTTTAAAGGGCGACTGGTGCTTTTAGGGGACCCAATAGCCAAATCCTGGGTGTGGAAATTCCTCATCCATGATCCTTTTTAGTTCGGGCGCCACTGTAGAGACATTAGGGTTTTTTTTTTTGGAAGCAAGAGAATTGAAAAATTAGCAACCGCCTTCGTCGGGAATCGAACCACAGACCTCTGGAATATCGGACCAGCATTCAGAACCACTGCACCACAAAGGACGCTAGGAAGGCGGGAGAAATACCTTATAACTTTTCAATTTCTGAGGTAAATTTTAATTTTAGCCGGAGCCCACGGCATTTCTTTTATGTAAGTGAAACACATTTTATCAAACAAATTTTATTTTTAAAATAAATATGCCTTAAAAATCGATTATAACTTCTGAAGCCATGCCTTTGTCTGGAGAACAAACACTTTAACAGAGATTAAGACTTTTAAGGAAAGAGAAGTCCCCATCATCACATTAAAGGATTATTCTCCTTGTAGTGCAATGAATTGAGAGTAGGTAAAATATTTTATTTCTAAAAGTACTAAAAGTGATTATCTTGGTTATGCAGGTCCAGCACTGATTACCTCTCACTGCAGAGTTCTTGCAGATTTGAACTAGGCAACCAAATGCTGAGGATAAAAATTGTAGCTTGTGTACATTTTACGTAGAGGCTTTGTCCCTGAGGGACTATTTTCATTTTGCGATTTTGCGTCGAATCACTCTGAATGTCCGTTTCACTTTTCAAACTATTGCCACCAAATAAGAGCCCTGCATTATAGTTGAAGAAATTCAATAAGGAAGAATCTGCGTAAATGCATGTGTGTTTCTCACGGTATGATAAAACAAAGGTACCTAGAGATATCCAATTTTGAATGACGTAATCGTTCTGCGAATGTGGGCATCTGGAAGCCCAAATTTGAAATTTGGAATTAGTTTTATTATTGGTTTCATATTTTGTAAAACTTTAACGAATTTTTGATTAACAAACTCAAGGATTTCAAAGCGAGCCATGGCGACGTTGTACAGAAAAAACATTTTTATCACCAGCGCGCAAGACTCTGTATCGGAAATTCTAAAGATATCCTCAATTTAAAACTGTTTTGCGATAATTTTATGGTTTAAGTGTGAGGAACGTGATTTTTAATAAATAAAGGTAACGGATAAAATGTTAAAAAAAAAAAAAATGCCTCTTTGGACCTGATTTAAAATCTGAAACCTTTCAGATTTTCTTTTTATTTTATTTTTACCCCTTCTTCCTGACAGCCTGCTATAGAGCTGCAGCACTTCTGATTTTATTTTAAAAATTAAGCCTTGCTGCTAGTCTGTAGTTTCTCTAGTCACTAACACATCATCTGGAGTGAGCCAAGGTTTAGGCTAAACAACTTAATTTTGCAAGTTATTGGAATTCTCTTCTTGCTAACTTATTTCAGTTTGTGTAGCGATCAGTTTGACAAGTAATTTTATGTAACATTTTACTTTAGTTATGATTACTTTTAGTTAGTAGTTAAATGAATCAAAAAGTAATTTGGCAGCCTATTATGATTAGCTTTACACTACAAAATCACACAAATCACTTTGTGTGATATGGTAGTTTAAAGCAAATAGTGTAACTGTATAAGAGTGCCCAGAACATTATTGGACATCACACATTCAGAGGTTTCTGCATTGTGGTTTAGACTAGAATTTAAAAGGGATATCACATCTATCTACATATTGGCTACAGTCATGTGCAGTTTGATGTTAATCAAAGCGTTAGTAGTTAAATGAATCAAAAAGTAATTTGGCAGCCTATTATGATTAGCTTTAAACTACAAAATCACACAAATCACTTTGTGTGATATGGTAGTTTAGAGCAAATAGTGTAACTGTATAAGAGTGCCCAGAACATTATTGGACATCACACATTCAGAGGTTTCTGCATTGTGGTTTAGACTAGAATTTAAAAGGGATATCACATCTATCTACATATTGGCTACAGTCTTGTGCAGTTTGATGTTAATCAAAGCTTTGCTTTTCCATTTTTGTTGTTCTTCTAAGGTATTTCTCCTGCCTTCTTAGCATGCCTTCGTAGTGTGGTGGTCTGCACGCTGGGCGCGTATTCCAGAGGTCCGTGTTTTGATTGCCACGGAAGGCGTTGCTCATTTTTCATTTTCCTCGCTTCGAAATAGTCTTATGTTTCTACAGTGGCGCCCGAACTAAAAGGGTAGTGGATGATGATATATTCCCCCTTTTAGAGGACGATTGGTGTTTTAGGGGACATGATCGCCAAATTAAGTACTTTTAAGGACCATTAATGAAAAAATTAAGGACCTATGAGCAAATGGGAACTGAATAAAAAAAATTCAATTAATATTATCCATGCCTTAATTTCACTTTTGTAATACCATCCTAAAAATGAAACAGATCCCTAAGTAGTATGCATTATTAATAAACATGAATTAATTAACATAATTATTAATAGGTTTGAATAAAATAAACTTCATGCAATTTATCAAGTAGCATTAAATTTTTTTAACTTATAATAGTTGACATATTTGAAACAAGATAAGTGACATTTACATTTTACTAACCGTTAGCTTTATGTTGATTTTTTTATGTCTCATTTTGTCACATACTTGGTCAGTCTAGAGGTTTTAGTAAATAGCAGGTAGATTTTTATGTCAAAACGGCATAGGTTGAAATGAGAAGTAAGATCATAATCAGCATGATTCTTAACAAAAGACTGAATGTTGTCACCACTGCTGCTTGTCTAGAGAGAGACCTGCTGATTAGAGCAAAACTGAAAGGACTGACCTAGGCATGGTTTACAAGTGTTGAAAGTTATTCAGGCTCTGTTTGATGCCATTAGTGTCGTAGCTTCATGTAGAGTTCCAGGGATTGTAACCCAGTTGATATACTTTAAGGTTCCAATAAGCCATGAAAGCACCAGAGGGGGAATATATAAGGTATGTCTCCCGCCTTCTTAGCATGCCTTCATAGTGTGGTGCTCTGCACTCTGGGCGCGTATTTCAGAGGTCCGTGGTTCGATTCCCGGCGAAGGCGTTGCTCATTTTTCATCTTTCCTGCTTTGAAATAGCCTAATGTCTCTACAATATTACCATCATGTGCTCGATTTATATATAAGCCAAAGTGCTTAAAGTCTCTTAGATAGTTATCACTTATTGTAAAATTAAACTACAAAATCACACAAATAATATTATCCATGCCTTAATTTCACTTTTGTAATACCATCCTAAAAATGAAACAGATCCCTAAGTAGTATGCATTATTAATAAACATGAATTAATTAAAGCTTATTACTAAAATCTTCATAAAACAGAATATTGAGAATCTTTGTTATCTTTTATTACATTAAAAAATATCATGTATAATCTAAGAAAAAGGAGGAAAGGTTGCTTTTGAACTTAGTTATAAAATATCATTTTCAGCATCTCGTTTATTAATGAAAAATATGAACATACATTTTGGACATCCATGATGTTGATTTTTTTTTAAAGAATGCAATGATTAAAAATGTTATTACTGAGCTATTACAAATGCTCTTATTTAAAATGGAATTTTTAGTTAAAAAACTAAAAATAGGCCTTACATAATTCTTTTTTGTATTGTGTGTGATACTGTTAATTAATGAAAACTGGAAAATTGCTATATTAATGTATTACAGTTTGACTTTAAATCTTTAAAACAAAATAACATATTAAAGATTTCGTTTATGTAAACTTATATAACAGAAGGAAAGAGAGATGAATATGATTACACTTCTATCTATCTATGCTTAGTGCGCATTTAGGGATTACAGTAGTTGTTCAGATAAACTTGCCCTAAAAGTGCAATTAAGAAAATGTGAATGGGAATAAAAATACAGCTCTATAAAGAAAATGAAATATGAATATATATTTAAATACAATGATGGTAACGATAAACAAGAATTACCTTTGCTTTTCAAAACTCTGTCAAATTTGAATATGATTTAAGCATATTTTTTTTAATGTAATTTTCGTTTTTACGTAAATTAATGTTTTTAATCATTTTACCTTTGGAAATTTTTTTATCTCTACTAATGATTATATTAATTATGTTTTTCAGGTGCCTGTCTTGCAATATTTGTATTATCTTGCGCAGATAGGCATTGCAATGTCACCTTTGAGTAATAATTCTTTATTTCTGAATTATCATCGAAATCCTCTCCCAGAATATCTAAGTCGAGGTTTGGTTGTTTCTCTGTCAACAGATGATCCTTTACAGTTTCACTTTACTAAGGTAGGTTATTTGTAGTTTTGTCTGATGCCGATTAAACCTTTAGCTGACCATAATTTAAGGCTTTTATTGTTGGTCAGATGTATTTAAACATTTTCTAAAAAGAACAGATAAAAATTTCCTATGCCACTTAAAAAGGGGGAGGCAAATATGTAATTTCACTTGGGGGGAGCTTTTTTGTAGTAAATTTAAAAAACTTATTTCTATAGTCATACATTTCTGACTTAAGTTTTTAATAATGTTATATTTGATTTCCTTGATCTGCTATATTATCTTAAGCCCACTGTAAATCATATTTTTTGATGCAGTTACAGTGACATGTTGGTATGCGTTTCAATCCTGTTGTTTGCATGTGAAAATTTTTGGTCGGTATATGATATTTGAAGTGCAACTCAAGTTTGATAAGTTATAATTGAGTGCTCTATCCTGGTTCACCTTTTTGGAGACAATACTACAACTGTCTATGAGTATCAGTAGGCCTGTGTCTACAGTACAAAGTCTTTAATATGGACGTCTGTAATCCGGATCTAAAAGCTTCAAACTTTCTACGCATGCGTAACCGCATTATGCGTTTATGCATGCGCATATACGTTTACGCATGTGCATAATACATTTATGCATACGATTTTACTGTATAACAGACGATATAAGCTAGGCTAAAATTATCTAATTATCTACTTCAGTTAATGTTGCAGATTGCGTTATTCCTTAATCTTCTAATTGGATCCGGCTTATTATTTTTTGCAGACTGTTAGAGCACTTTTATAAAAAGTAAGCTTGAACTTTCGGTTATGTCAAAAAGAGTTTCCGATTCTGGAGCTGCCAAAAGATTTACAAAGTGAAAGCATGTTTCAATGTACTGCTTCCGATAGTGAAGAAAGTGACAGAGAGGTTATTGAAAACGAAAAAATTTCAATTGACAAGTTAGTCGGTATTCTCGACACAGCAATTACAGGGCTTGAACAGTGGAAGTAAACAAAATATTATGTCTGTTTATAGAATTAAAGAGAAAGTATTAGCACAAAAATATGAAGCAGCTTAAACAACTTACATTGAAAGAAATGTTTAATAAAGTAAACAAATAAATATTAAGCTTTTTTTTTTTTTTTTTGTAAATTTTGATACCTTTTAGATCATAATTGCTCTTTTTTTCATAAATTACGGTTTCATATTTTTAATTTTATAATTTCTGCATGCCATCTTACCAGATTTAAATTGATGATCTATAATCCGGAAAAACCCTAATCCGGAATCGCCGAAGTCCCGACGAGTCCAGATTAAAGACTTTGTACTGTACTGTTCAGCAAACAACCAAGTTATAACTATGAATTTTCATGTGATTTTGTATTTTCTCATGTAAATATTTTTGTAAATCTTTTAATCTCTTGAGGAGCAGTGTGCAGAGAACGAAACGCAGTCACTGGATTGACTGACCCACCCTTGAAATAGAACATCGGCACTTTAGCAGTTAAGCATAGTTTTACAAAAAAATTCATATAAAATCAGCATTTTAATATAATGACCTCAATTTTTGAAGAAAAGATATTTATTTAATATACTAATTCTTAATATGTATTAATGTAAAAAATATCACATTAATAGAAATAAGTGAAATATGCAAAATGCTAAAATTGTAATATACTCATGAAAACAAAATTACAAATACAAAATTTAAAAGAAAATTAAGCAACAATTATCGGAGGTAATAAAATTCCATTGGGAAAGCTGATGTCTGGCTCCTTCTGTAATAATTAATTTACCAAGAATTTAATTAACCGTTTTAGTTAACCAAGAATGCCTAAGTTAATTTTTAAAAGAAATATGAAAAAGGACAACTGGTCTGAGTTTTTCCATCACGGAAGTTTGGCAACATTACGCCTGCTATAGTCAGCTAGATGAGTGTGTGCTAAAAGAATGTGGGAGATGCTATAGTCAACTCCCACATTCTTTTAGCAAAAAAAGCAAATAACATAAATGAAAACCTTGAGCTGGATGCATTTCCCCATATTCTAATAATGAAAAAAGCAAACAACAAAAATGCCTGTGTTCCTTTAACTGTGATTCCACCAATAAGTCTGTCAAAACCAGATGCACAGAACAGAAACTGATGCCCACACATGAATGTCAAAAGCCATATTATTCAACCGATGTGGAAACAGTTACCATTTAGCATCATTTAATGGCATATAAAAATTCAAATAAATCGTTCCATTTTCAAGTTACGCATACGTGAAGCTGGGCTGAAAAGATTGGTCAGAGCATTTCGTGTAGAAGAGACGCTAGGCTGATAAGTCACATTGCTGCATCGTGCCTACATGACATTGGACATGAACGGGGTTAAGCAATAAAGATAATGGGTAGTATCACCATGGTGCTGGGGGGAACAAAGATTGTTAACAAATATGAAGATGACATGTGTATCCAGAACTTAGCTATTGCATATCGTATGATGAGAATGACAGTGTCTTTCAATTATGAAAAACAGACTCTATTGAATAAGCTAACTTTGCAAAATCGATTACCAAACAAAGCTTTGGTCTGGATCAATACTGCCTTGGATAACAGAATTGGATTTCGATTTGAATAACAGAGAAGCTTTAACAACATTATATACAATATTTCATTCATGTCAAGTATATATTTCACACTCTGAATTTGTATTTTAGTGTTGAAGAGTGTTGTAATAACAACAATAGGATTTTTTTATTAATTATTTTCCCTGTATTTCTTCTTGGAAAAATTGTTTGGTGTATGTCCTGTGTGGTATAATTCCAAGGATCTGGAATAGAATAATGGCATACACCAAGGTATTTGTGTAAAAGAATTTGAAATGATTTTATGCCAACAAAAGCAGACTATAAAACAATAATGGCTTTCACTTATAATAGATCAGTAATCACAGTATACTAATGAGCTAATTTATATTATGGTTGTTTTACAAATAACAATGTACATTTTTTTATAAATTCAAAGGAAAATAATTGCAATAATTGATTTGTATACAAATTTCCATTGGTGTGCTATTAATCCTGTATTTTCATTTTAAGGAGCCACTCATTGAGGAATACAGTATTGCAGCTCAAGTACTCAAGCTTAGCAGTTGCGATATGTGTGAATTAACTCGTAACAGTGTATTAATGAGTGGTTTCCCAGATAAGGTAACTATGTTTCTTTACATTTGTGTAAAACAATAATTTATTTTATAAAGAAAACACACATTCATAGAAATACTAAATTCTTATTGAAAAATGAGAGGGCTGCAGCCGAAGCAAAATTTTTATGTTCTATGTACCCCCGAAAAACAAATGTATGAAAACATTTCAGAATGAATGAAATTAGTTTGTTCTTTCCAAGCAACAACCAATTTGTAAATAATTTTTTTATTGCCGAACCAGGGAATAAATAATTTTGACACTTCAGGTTAACACGTATGACGTCATGATTTAAATTGAATGTAATATAACAACATTTTCTCAATATTAATAAAAGAATTAACATGGTGAATCAACGTTAATAATATATCATGTCACTTATACTTACCTGAAACAAAAAAAGTTGCCAACAGCAGCTGTTCCTTTAAAATGCTAACATTAATGAACAATGTTCGACATACAGTAACGTCACGTGCAATCGCGTGCTTTCTTCAACGTCAGACTATGACCTTGTATGATAATATGTTTTATGTTTGGCAATGTTATTTTTATTTCATATTTCAGAAAATTTACAAATTTTTTATTAGCAAACTCGATTAACTGCTCAAAACTTTTCTAAATAAAGCATTTTTATCTCCAATGCACGAGACTGTTGCCACTCAGAGAAATGTTTGCGAAAGTTAGTGTTTTCAAAGTTTTTAATTAATATCTCGGCTGATTAAAGTCGTACGAAAGTGGGAACTGCCAAGAAATGGCTTCCCACGAATTTTTCAAATTGGGAATATTATATTTAATGTTTAGCAATGCTATTTTTATTTCATATTTTGTAAAATTTAGAAAATTTTTATTAATAAACTCTATTACTTGAAAGCGAGCAGTGGTAACACTTCTAAAAATAAAGAAGATTTTTATCTCCAACATGTGAGATTGTTGCCACTTGGAAAAATGAGTGCAAAAATTAGTGTTTTAAATAATGTCTCCACTAATTCATACAAAGATGAGAATGGTCGAAATGGCCTCCCACATAATTTTGGAATCCGGGGCTATCTCTCTCAAAATTCAAGTCCATGCCAATCCGGAGGAGATAATACCACAAATAAACAGATGCACACAGATTTTTAATAGCATAAATGTTTAAAAATAGCAGCATAAAAGTTTGTATATTTACTCTTTGTTATGACTTGCCAAATGTGCTATATGCACATATACAACAGAGAGTCACTGAATTTTGAGCTTAGTGACTTAAAAAAAAAAAAAAAAAAAAAAAAAAAGGTTATAAGACTGTATTTCAGAGGGTTATCAAGCCTACCAGTTGTTAAGAAGTTTACTGAATGGTTTGTCTAAATTTGTGTAATGTAGTGTAATTGATAGTAGCTGATCCCAGACTTTTAAGAGTATGCTTATTGATTGGCACTTTAGTGATTTTCACCATATGTAACCTGAATACAGATTAGCTCCTCAAAGATATCTCTCCTGAGTAATTTCATCTGCTTTGCCATACATAAATAAACCTAATAACAAAACCACATAGGCATTAGTTACTTAAGTAACCAGAATTGCAATTCGATAAAAGGAGCGATATCCAAAATTATAGCTATCAATAAAAAAAAAGTAAAATAAGTTTAATTTAAGAAACTAGGAAGAGAAATGGAAATTGTCGAACTGTGCTGAACGCTCCAAAAGCATTTCAGCATAATAGAGGAAGATAGCATTTGAGATGATTTTAAAAGGAATAATTTTTTAGAGCTTCATAAATTAAATGTAAAATTATTTTAATCTGCACATTTTTGGACCAAAGAATTGCATGGGTTAGAGAATTTTGTGGGTTACAGATGATGTTTCTCTGACTTTTCATTTACATAATCCCCTTTCTAATTTGTCTGCTATGTTTGGATTATTGCATACTAGCAGCTTCGCTGCCAGCCTTCATCTGGCTTTTAAATGTACCGGAAACATGGCTGAAGGAAACACCAAACGTTAAATTTAAAAACTGCGTAGAATTTTACTCTGCAGAACAACTTCATAAGAAAAAAGTTATTATGTATAACAAAATTACAATGAAATAAGCAATATCCCTTAGTACAAATATTAATTATCCTAATAAATAAATTAATCAATTTCCCTTTGCAAAATCTTAAGAACTCAAATGGTATAAAGGAGGTTAAGAAATTTGTTTCCTAAAAAAATCACTCAAATTTTTTCAATATCTTAAAAACAGTGAAATGAGCAATAAATAGCATAAAAGAATGCATGCAAAAAACAGAAAATTCTCAAAAGCAAAGTGTAATGAATGATATTTTATCTTATATTTTCAAGAGAAAAATTTACAATGAAATAAGCTATATCCCTTAATACAAATATTAATTACCCTAATAAAAAATTAACCAACTATCTGTTGAAGAAAAAAAATCATGCAAAACTTTTCAATATCTTTCAAACTGTGAAATTAGCAAAAAATAACATGAAAGCAACTCAAAAAACATAAAATTCCGCACAGAATTTTACTCTACAGGACAACTTTATCAAAAAAAAATCAATAAAAATGTATTATATATATATATATAAATGGCAATGAAATATGCCAATCTCTTAAAAACAGTGACATAAGAAATACGATGAAAAATTGTTGCCAAACCCATATTTCTAAAAGAATGAAACTATTCAAAATGATGCAATTTCATTAAAAATCTATGAACAACAATAAGACAGGAAAATTATTGCCAAAATCACATTTTTAAAGATGTGAGATGTGAGAAGTGTACTCGGAAGTTTCATTTAAAAAAATTTTTAAAAATACAAAATATTATCATTTTTCCAAAATTCTTTTTGTAAAAGCAGTTGCAAGTATAAAAGTTTAACGTGTCCAAAAATCAAAGAAAAATAAATTGTACATTTTTAAAAATAAACTTGTTTAGAAAAAATCCTGTTGAAAAGGTGTTAAGCTCCCTTTGTTAAATAAATTCGTATTGAATCGATTTATTGAAACACGAAATTTATTTTAAGTTTGTAAAAAAGCTAAGTACCTATTTTAAGTTTGTAAAAAAGCTAAGTACCTACGTTTCATGATGATGTGAAAATGGAATGTGTAGAGTAAAATCTCACTTTCCTATAGCCCATTATGTCTCAAAATGACGAGATTTCGTCACAAAACATAAAATTTAAAAAAATTCTAAATCGAATTTCGAAAAAATCGCTTCAAGGTGCACTGGCTCTTGTCTAGAATCACCTATGCACCAAATTTCGTAGCCATGGGTCTATTAGCTTACGCGCAGCACGAACGAAAGACACACATACAGACTCTTTCTATTATTATATGTAGAGATAAGTAACTAAAACAAACCTGTTTATTAAGAATTCTTTAATTCAAAACCATATATATTCAAAACTAATTTTAAATGATAGTGGATTATCTACTGAGTATGGATTTTTCTAAAATGAAAACTTTTAGGAATTCACGACACCTTCAGTATGTTACATTAATAGCAACAATAATAAAAGGTGTAATATTGCAAGTAAAAAAAAAAAAAAAAGAGTTAAGTAACTTCATTGATAAAAGAAGTTAACTTTTTCAATCAAAATATATTATTAGTATAGTGTACTTGTATCAAAATTTTATTTGCACATTTGTATTCTGTTTCCAGACTTGTTATGAAACTGAAACCGGTCATTATTAATGCCTGTGTTAAAACTATGCAGTGTTGCTGAGAGCACAAGAATTTTGCCTCGATTTTCGTAAACTTTGTTTTTCCTCGCAGAATAGTCATTTACTTTTGTTTTCCACTGTAGAAAATGTTTACATATAAAGATATATATGTATGTATATATATATATAAAGAAGCCATTATTATATGAATGAAATAAAAAAAAATTTGATTGCAGCTGTTCATAGGATCTTGTTCTTCAGGAGCAAAATCATTTTTGCAAACATTTATGTTATCAGCTTGCTAAGGTTCTTCAAGGAAATTCTATGATAATTTCAATCTCTGGTGAAATTAATAAATAAATTTCTGATAATAAGTTCCATGTTAAAACAGTTATAATTTGACAATTATATAAATTGTTTATTTTTATTTACAATAATTTGAAATATTATTTTTTAAAAAACTACATTTCTTCTTGTCAAATGACGTATTTAATCACAGTGTATCTGCAAAATGTGAGGATGCAAATTATCTGCTAGTTATGGGAAAACTATTGTTGTTACAAAGTATATAAGGAAGTCTTGAAAGTACTCCTAAGTTTGTGGCATTCTTTTCCCCCTTCATGTTTTAATAGTTTCTTTTTTATTCTGTTTTTAGTTTTCATAATTTTGTATCAGTTATTTTAAGATTACATCTTCCCCTTCCTAAGAATGTTTTTTACCATGTTTCTGTCAAGAAATCCTCTCATCCATTTTCATGATGTTTATTCAAGTCCATTCCATTTGATAGCAGTATTATTCAACCTACAATTTACAAGTTAGAATAATTTGTACTTATAATTGGAAAACTATATAGCTTATTTTTATCTTAACAACTTTCATACTGAGCACAAGACCATGCAAGTTTATAATTGCAGTAGAATATTAAAATCTCAAATATTATGAAACCCCATGATTTCTATTGAATACTGGCTGATAGAAAGTACAGAACCTTTTTTCTTTGCATTTTTTCATTCTAAAAAAATTTCCTTGTGTTAAATATTACTGAAACTTAATCCAAGAAAAGTAGTTAAGATTTTTAGTTTTAATTGTGACATTTTTAATTTACAGTATACTAATTTTACCAAAATCAAATTTTTACCAACAGTGGAAACGATACTGGTTAGGTCCAAATTACATGAAAGAAGGTGTTGCTGGAAATGACATTAGTCGGACCAATGTGCCTGACATCAGAGTGTCTTATCGATATGAAACTCTTGTGGAAGAATTGTCTACTATATCATATTCAACATTACTTCAGTCTCAGGGTACTCAATTTGTTTCTACCAACAAAACTTAAAATGTTTATATTTTTTAATATATAAAAGTAAGTAAAATGTAAAATATCTTATGATGGGAGATATTTTAGGTTCCGTGTATTTGTAGTCATTGTATAATGATTTTAAAGTTCATTCTTAGATGAACTGAAAATTATATAGAATATTTTTATCTTATGTGTATAATTTTCATATTTTATTTAAAAAGTAAATTTTGTATTTATGGCATTGGACTGTTATTTACTGTTGTATTTTTAATATAGAACTTTTCTCATGAGATTAATTTTAAAAATCATTAATGTTACTTAAAGTGTGGTGACTTAAAAATAATATATATTTCTATATTTATATTGCTTAAGATATTTCTATTTAAATAAGAAATATATTCGTGTTAAATTTTTGCTTATACAGTTTAATTGGATCAAATTTATATGTTATAGCCAAAAGAATAACAAGTGATACGTACTGTGATACAGTTTGTTTGTAAATCATATATTTATAGAATTGTTGAAATTATGAAATGATGAATTATAAATATCTCTGTTTTAACTACATAAGCTTAAAAATCATGAATTTATATTTTATGTTTTTTTTTTTCGTAGTTTTTTAAAAATGTACTTGAATTCTTAATGCTGGTTGTCCTAAATGCATAATATATTTCTTTTAGGCAATAAATATATTATATAGAGAGAAAATTAATCTGATTATATTCAAATTAGTTTGTGGTAATAATGTTGTCTCTCGGTGTTGTATTTTATACTCTAATTTTTAGCTCATTTAATTTAAACTGAGTGTAAATCTGTGATGTTTCTTATACCTTGTGCAGTATTATAAGTAAGCTATACAATTTTTTACTGCAAACTGAATGTTATAGATGATATGTTCAGTGTATGAGATCTGTATGAGACAATGAGTGTGTCAGTGAAGGACTATTTACATTGTATAACATGTCAGTGCCATTCAAAAGTTTCCAACCTGTAATCTGAAGGATCACACCTTTACTTTACCTTTGAATTATTTTAGGTAGGGAATATTAACTTTACAAAAAAAAACTATCCTTTTTTAGAAGATGCTGGAAATTTGTACCATATTCTTCAGTGTACAAATCCACATGATAACATACATTTTTTTTCACTTCTTTCTAAATATTGGTCATTGAAAGTTGATGCTGTTCCACAGATCTTTCTATTTCTAAATAGAGAAAAGCTCTTTTCATGCTGCTTTTTTATGCACTGAGAGTCCTCTCCTCCTTCCACTCACTATGAGTTCACCAGCAGCTGGGTAGTAAAGTCGTTGAACACTGGTAGTTCGGTCCGAGGCTCGAATCCCACGAACGGGCTGCCTGCATGATCATTTTTGTGGTTTTCCCTATGTGTAATGTTTATACGAGCCAGTTTCCCTTCGAAAGTCCTCCACGAAGGTATTCTCCCCCTTAGGCAGGCAGCATTCAAGGCTTTGCCGTAATCACATTAACCAAACCAAACCATACTCTCACTATATTTGGTTTTCCATTTTATAAAGCACTTGAGTACTTTACCAAAGTTCAAACACCTTTTGAAACAACAGTACTCTTTTCTGCTTTTAGAAAAATATTTATAAAGAGAATTTGGTGTCTTCTGAATTGCACTGTATTATATAATTTTATAACAGTTTGTCCAAAATGGTTTGAAAATGACATTTTATAACATTTTATAAATATTAAATTAGAAAATATATATGAATAAAGACTCTAAGTATTAAAATGTTGATTGCTTCCGTGTAAAGTAAAATTAAGTTTTCCATTAATTTTGATGTTTCTAGAGCTTAGCAAAGTAATTTACTACATATAGTGCATTCAAAATCAGAACTGTATATTTTATATACAGTACAAAGTCCGAAATCCAGATATCCTTTATCCTGAATGATCTAAAATCCGGACCTCAAAACCACCAACAACGTTTTTCTGGTAGGCTTTACACATGCACATTTGATTCCCCCCCCCCTCCGTGCATAATGAAACATCTGGAGAGTTCTGATTCTTAATTTTACTTTGACACTAAATTAAATATCTTCTTATTGAAGAAACAATCATTTTAGCATAAATTTGTACGATCAATAGTTTGACTCTGTTGCTGCATATCTGCTTGGCACCCATCTCAAACCGAAACATTCCACATAGATACATCGTTGATCTGACGCCAACCTGGCAAATCATTATTTTTATTATACTTTCCTTTGATCACCACATGTTTATCAAAACAAGACAACTTGATTAATGGCTCATGTAGCGATGCCTAGACAATTTTTTATGTTAGTAATTGAATAATAAAGGAGTGTGGTAACCTTTTATGGCTACATTACGCTTGGCGATAATTACAGATTTAAGTTAAATGCGCTAAAAAATGTTGATGAGGAAAAATTTACCAAAAGTTTCTTTCCATATGGTAAAAATAGATTTTGTTGATGATACTCATAGACCCAAAGATTACATTTAGGACTATTTGAATTAAGAATAACTGATTTGTTTTTCACATAAATCCAGAACCAGCACCAGGGCTCGTATGGCCGCGCCGAGTAACAGAATTTAGGACCCACAGAGACCGCATCAGGAGGTAAGATATCTAACGCCAGCCCTAAAAAAGGCTTAAGTATATGAGGGAATTTATTAATTCAGAACTCTGATAAGCCTTAAGGATGTGCAAGAAATAGACATACGTATAATAAATAACTAATACAATTCAGGCTTAATTGTCTCAGTGCGCGATAGAAGCAAGATAAAATGTAACGGAACAACTTGTTGTTAGTCGCCAAGCTCATGATGCATAGCCAAGTATGTATAGTGAAGGATAGCTAATTTTAAAGATTTCGGATATCGCAAAACAAAGGTGAAATTTATGTAAATGATTTTGTAAAGAAATTTAGAGAAGCGGTAATAAATGAAGATGATATAAAAGAAGTTTTTCATTGTAAAGACAGTGTTTCTCGATCATCAATCAATTAATGAATGATGAAATCTGTAGTATGGTTCTAGATCAGAAATACCGCTGCGATAGTGAAGAAACTGACAGAAAAGTTCCTGAAGACGAGAAAATTTCGATTGACAAGTTAGTCGGAATTCTCGAAACAGCAGCTACAGGACTTCAACAATGTAACTAAACAAGAGATTATGTCTGTCTACAAAATTAAAGAGAAAGTATTAGAACAAAAAACGAAGCAACTTAAACAACATACATTGAAAGAAATGTTTAATAAGGTAAACAAATAAATATTGAGCCTTTTTTGTAAATTTTGATACCCTTTCGATTATAAATACTTCATTTTTTCATAAAGCGCGATTTCATATTTTTAATTTTATATTTCTACATGCTATCTTACTAGATTTAAACTGATTATCTAATATCCGGAAAAATCCCAAATCCAGAATCGCCGAAGTCCCGACGAGTCCCGATTTCGGACTTTATACTGTATTACTAAATTCATTGTATTGAATCTGTATTTTGATGTTTGATTTATTATATTATTGTTAATGTATGTGCATCAGATGTTAATAAAAATTTCCCATTTATGCATGTTTTAGGCTAGGAAAACATTAGTAGAACTGGAAAAAAAGTTTCCCCCATTAAAATTAGAAATGCTGACTTGCTGTAAAATGTTTTTACTTCAATGACAATTTCTTGTAATGTAAAAGAAAATTCATACATATATGGGATTATCAGAAAAGAATCACCTGACTACAAAATTTAATATTTCCTATAATTACAAACAGGAAATTATAAATAGATTAACTTAAGAGCTCAAAAATGAATTGCAGCCTATAAAAAAAATATTTTAATTTAATCCCAGTTGCTTCACAACTTTCTGGTCTTAGCTAAATGCTTAACCTCACAGTAATCGTAAATAATTCTGTCTTCCTGTATTTCAAATACTTTGTTTTTAAGGATGTATTAATTTAGTACTTAAAATAGACAGTTAAATGCCAATTACAAAGAATACCGTGATCGAAGAAATTTTGATCGAAATGGGTAGTTTGAAATGTATAACAAATTGTGAGAGAAAATCTATTTTTCTTTACTAGTGGTTCCCAGAGTGGTTCCTACGACCTCCAGGAATACTTTTGATCACTGAGGGATCTGTAGCAAATTTAGATTAATTTGGGGGGGGTTGCAGACAATAATAGGTGATCCATGAATGGTTTAATGTAAAATAAAATAATTGTGATTCATTTTCGTTATTATGAAAGTTAAAATAAATTGGAAGCAATTTTTATATCCTGAGAAAATTAAAAAAATTGTGCCCTTTTGTTAAAGATAGCAATATGAGGAGTGAGAAAAAAAAAATGCAGACAATATAGTGTTAAGTATTTATGGCTTTGTTCCATTGCCATGATATAGTACCCTACCGACATACCTTCTATTCAATAAAACTCTGTCAAATGAATTAATGAAAGCTGAAGGACAAAAGCTCATAGCAACAAAATATGTATATATTTAACACTTTTTAAAACAGTCAGTGAAAAATATTTGAAAACTCCATTATTAAAATATGAGCAAGATGATGATGGATTAGTGTTTCTTGTAACATTTCTTTACTGATTGTAAAATCGGAAAGCCATACACCATTGGTGAAGAACTTATTCTACAAACTGTAAATGAAGTAATACGTACCATATTGCATGAACCAGCTTTCAATATTCTAGGGCTGCTATCAATGGAGGCATTCATTGGCTATCAAGGAGAATGTGGCACCGGTAGTGGATACTGTGTTCTACTTGGAAACCAGATCTTAAAGACCTGGGAAAGAAAGCTTAAGCACCACAACTCAGTTTTTCAGGCTGAACTGATTGCATTAAAAGCTGCACTTGTCTACGCACTGGAAAATAACTATTCCAGTATATATTCAGACTCAGCCTCTAGCCTCCAGGCAATCCAAGGCACGTGTAGTAAAAATCCACTCGTCAGGACCATACAAAAGCTCTTACTAAGAACACCTAAATACTATAGGCCTAAACTCCAGTGGGTACCTGCCCACACTGGAATGCTGGGTAATGAAATTGAAGATGCAATAGCCAAAAGAGCAGCAACTGACCCCCACGTTCGCACACTTGACGTGCCTTTCCCAGGTTCGTTTTTAAAAGCTAAGCTTGAGAGAGAATTACTCAAACATTGGCAACATCTGTGGGAGACAGAGACCACCGGCAGAAGAGTTTACGGATTTTTTCCAAAAGTCTGCCGGCTTCTAAAATCTGGCTCATCTCACTTCACTTAGTATTTAACAAGACATGGTCCCTTCATGACCACCTGCATCGCTTCAGACGA